CAAAGTAGGGTTTAGCCCTAGATTTACGGTAGGGTTAGATGTTTTGCCTTCCACAGACAAGACCAAGAGGCTTTGAGATCTGAGCTTCTGCATTTAGGGGTTCTTTGAGGCGCTCTACAAGCCTATTGAATAATCTGCTCCAGGGTTAAGCCAACTTTGCTGAGTTGCCCAGCCAACAGAAATTTCAAAGCTTTATATCTTGCTTACGTGATGTCCAACCAAACAGACACCATATAGTACCTTGAAGCGCTTCTCAAGGACTATCCAAAACTGCAAAGACCTGCAAGATTTATGGACCAATTTTTCCTAACCCTGCCGGGAACACCTATCTAACCCTAACCCTAACCCTGACCCTAACCCTTTCAACGTCGGCTTGCAGCAGAGTGTCACGTACGCGTCGCACACTCACCTAGATAGCCATCCATGGATCCAAGATACGCACTCAGCTATGTTCGGTACTACGATCTCATCCGTCTGCCGAGCGCAAACCCATCTTTTTGGCGGACTGATACACCGTCGCGTCATCGCATTCTGCTGGAACGCAATCATTTCTAGCGCTTTGACTCGCGCTCTGAAATGAACACTGGGTGTGCGCTGCGCGCCCGGTACGCATGCCCGTGTCGTGTCTGCTTCTCGCATTGTTTGCGAGCGAAATGCGATTCCATAAAGCGCCACAGCAAAGGCAAGTCGCAATCTCCCTTGACATCTCGTTCAGCGAGCCGCTTTCACACGAGCCCAAAACCTCGCAGCCAGCCCGGACCTTTCACAAATCACAGGCGCTTGTGTTGCGTCAGGGTGGCATTGATTGTACTTCTAGCGTCCAGACAGGAATGAGGAAAAGGGAAACTTCGTCTTGCAATGGACATTGGGTCCCCGCGCCGGCGACTGAGAGGATGGTGTTGCTGTGCAACAGTTGCCCTTTTTCCGCTCTGGATCAACGCGATTTGCGAAACGGACAGCAGACTACGTAGAACGACATCAAATGTCCAGCTCATTGCAAGGCACGACTGACGATATCTTCGCTGACTTGCCAAAGCTTTTGAGACAGGCCCTGACAGATGAATGACTCAAAAGACTCAGGAGCGACTCGTCACCGTCGGCAAGAAACACACTCACCTCTTCCGTTTGAGCAGCATCCACTGCGAGGACTCTGCCGTTGCTGATGAACGCGCCATTCTGAGCTTCGAGGGAAGGATCCAAGAGCGAGTAGAGCATCTGTCCAGCCGCTCGCTCGTGCGTGCTGAATTCCAGACCGAAAGTGGACGTTCCTGTGCTCTTGGGGACGCCATTCTCGTCCGCGAAGCCGAAAGCGATCATCGTCTCTTTGGACAAAGATCGAGCCAATCGAGTCTTGACCATGCCAGGGTCGACGCTGTAAGCCAGCACTCCGGCTTTCTGCCTTGCCAGCTCGCGAGCCAAGATGATGTTTGCGCTCTTGGCTTGGCCGTACGCTACCCAAGGGTGGTACTCTGCGCCCTGCTTGAAATTGTAGTCGTCGCCGCGGAAATTGCCACCGTGATAGCCTGTGCTAGAGACGTATGAGAACCTCGGCGCGGTTCGGTGGGCCTTTTGAGCGGCCTGGAGGAGAACTTTTGTGAGGACAAAGTGAGCGACGTGGCACACTCCGAATTGCGACTCGATGCCATCCTGCGTCAGCTGCCATGGAGTGGCCATGATGCCAGCGGATGCGAGAACGTAGTCGATAGCAGAGTCTTGCGACTTGGCTGCAATCTCTTCGCTGCCCTGTTGCACGGACTTGATGGAGTCGAGATCAGCGATGATGGGAACGAGCTCGGTGTCGACCTTGCCGAGGCTATCGATTGCTGCTTGAATTTTGCCGTGGCTTCGGCCGAGCAGGAATATTCGGCCGGCCCCGCCTTTGACCAGCGAATGCACCGCGGCGAGAGCAAGAGAATCTGGACTGGCACCCGTGACGACAAATGTCTTGGCGCGGACCCGATCGGACAATCTAGCGACCACCTCATCGCCAAACTCGCCCGAGGGCTTCTCGAACTTGACGTTGTCAAAAAGCTCAGCCATGTTCGTGCTGGTGTTTGTGCTGGTGCTGGTGCTTGTGCTGGTGCTTGAGAGGCAATGTCGCTGACGCTGTTATCTGGGATGCAAAGAGTGCGCGCTGTGTCGAGGAGTGCGAATACGCGAGGGGTGCAAAGACGCGACCAGTATTTATGCAGCAGACCCATGAGCGAGCTGCCTGTCAAACGCAAGCGCTCACGCTCACGCTCACGCTCCCACAATGAGACGGCTCACCTCATCAGCTGCCATTGCCCCGAGCGAGATGGCATGCGCGGCTGTCAAGCCTCGTGACGAGTTGATTATCCGTGACTGTTACGCTCGAGTCGTGAGTCGTGAGTCGTGAGTCGTGAGTCGTGAGTCGTGAGAATGTGAATCACAATCGTGAATGGCTCGTGGTGTCGCCGTGCAAGCCTCGCCTCGGGAGTGTGAGTGATCTTACTCGCCGACGCCGCTGCGGAAGCTGCAGTTGTGAGTTGCAGTTGCCGACAATTTTGAATGACCGTGTCGCGCGCGCGTCAACGGGGGTTGGGGTTAGGCTTTGCGCACGCGTGCCCTCGTTGTTGCGATCCATCGTCGACTCATGCACGTATGCATTCAACATTGCATGCATGCATGCATGCACGGTCAGCAGTCAGCAGTCAGCAGTCAGCAGTCAGAGTCGTAGACATTCTTGATTCATGACGCGCGGGGAGGAGGGCGGGGAGGCGAGTCATGTGACGGAGCCTGGGCTGTCATCACACGGGCGGAGCTGCAAATCACGATGGGATGGCACGGCATGGCATGGCATGGCATGGCATGGGTGCAAAGGTTGACTTGTGATTTGTCGATCGATGTCTTTAATCGGGGTAAAGTGATCGAGATTCAACATTCACATTCACATTCACATTCACATTCACATTCACATTCGCCCAGGATGTTGATTCACTGATTGTCACCCTTGTGCTTCGCGATCGCGTGTTCAGATAGCACGGCCCCCCGGCCTCCACCTCAGACTCCCATCTCGCATCCCGCATCCTCCTCATCCCGCATCACCCCTCATCCCGCATCTCGCACACAATCACAATGACGATCAGCATAGACCCAGGCTGCCTCATCGTGCGCCCCATCAACTCCGACGTGGACAGGCAGCAAGTCACGCGCATCCTCATCGAGTCCTTCGACGCGCTCTACAAGTCCAAAGGCATGACCATGACGGATGATCGCCGCATCATGCTCACCGACGCCGCAAAGCGAGATGACGTCGTCGTCCTCATCTGCCATCCTCCTGCACCCGCACACGCATCCGCAAGCGATGATGGTGCTCTGACTCCTCCCGCGCCCTTAGCGACAGCCACGCTGGTGCCGCCCACGTCTCGACATACCCGCGCTTGGAATCCCAAGGCGCTGATCGCAAAGGGCGACGCACACGCACACGCACACGCACACGCACACGCACACCCACACCCACACCCACACGCACACGCACACGCACACGCACACCCACACCCACACCCACACCCACACGCGCACGCACCCGCACCCGCACCCAAACCTCGGTCCTGGGAGCTGAGATTCCTTGCAGTGGCGCCGCAAGCTCAAGGCAAAGGTGTTGCCAGCCAAGTGATTGCCCATGCAGAGCGTTACGTCGTCGCTCACGGCAGCGAGGTCGTCTGTCTGCACACTCGCCGCGGCATGGAGCATCAGGAGAAGATGTATGCCAGCAAAGGCTATGTGCGCGATGAGGAGCAGGATCTGACCATTGGCGACGTGTACCTGCAAGCGTACTACAAGATTCTCACGTGAGGGCGACCACGTCGTGAAACAAAACGTCCCTGCCAATCTGGCTTTCGCCTTGACCGTGCTTTGCAGTCCAGAGTCGTGGCAAGCAGGCAGGCAGCCCATCCTGAACAGGCGCACAGGTTGGAATCGCACCGCGCAGACGGTGGAGCACAGGAATCGAGTTTGAAGGCCTTGAGCGAGGCAGGAAGCGCAGCCCATCGTGCAGATCCAGTCCCGCTCACAAGCCTTCGCTGCCAGCCACGTCGCATACAGCGAGGACCCACTTCAGCAAATATGGTAGCATTCGAGAGCGACATTATCACATCGCGGTCATCAGTCGTCGTTACACGTCGATCAAGCATCAATCAGCTCGCGACTTGAATACAGGCGTGACGTCATCTTAGGCAGCTGATGCTACGACCGAGGGTTGTGTGGGCTCTGCTGCGATGCTAGGGGCCGCATTGGCTCCGCTCTTTCGAGCTTCGTGCGCAGTCATGCGATGCACATCCGTCGTCGTCACCGCTGGGCAGGAGGAGGAGGAGGAGGAGGAGGAGGAGGAGGAAAAGTCGTGAGCATTCAGCGAGATGCATGCGGGGGGAAATGCGTTGCGATGATGCGCACAGCAGCGCACCGCGGCGCACCACTCACTGGTCACAGTCGTGCGAGTCACCATGCCACCATCACTCTCCTCTGCAACAGCATCCAGCTTGGGCGACGCGTCCGCGTCGACAAACGTCTGCTGAATCTGACCTTGGCTCGAGAAGCGCTTGAAGCGTGCGGCCGAGGGCGTGGGCGTGCCGGAAGCTGGCGCACCACCTTGACCACCACCAGCCTCGTTGTCGTCGTCGTCATCGGCAGCATCGCCTTGACCCTTGGTCCCCTGCTCTGCCTCCGCTTCCGTGCTGGTTTGCTGTCCCGCTGCAGCCGAGTAGCTGGCGCTGGCGCTGGATCCAGGCACCGCTACGACGACTGCACCACCGCAGACGGCATTGGCAGGCGACGAGCTGCACGATGATGCGTCTTTGTGCGGCGGCGGCGATCCTCCCAACCTCTCCTTGTTCACCCATCCGAACAGGTTGAGACGCAGAGATCCCAGGGAGAAGATGTGAATCGCCGTTCGCGTCCTCTCGCTGGGCGTGGTGGACGGGCTTGCATCTCCTCCAGAAGCGCCGCCATCTTGCGGCTTGCCGCTGTTGGGCGAGTTGGACGAGGTGGCAGCAGCGGCGCTCTTGGGACCGATGGCTGTTGCGACAGCGCTGCCAGAGTTGCTAGTGGACGTCGAAGTCACTTCTGTAGGAGATGAGGAGGAGGAGGCGGAGGGCGTCGTCGTCGTTGTCGTCGTCGGCTCGCTCGCAGCGGCGTCCTTGATGACGTACTTGGCAGGTGCAGAGATCTTGCGCGACCTGAACAGGGGCAATGCGCGGCGAGTAGATGCCGCGCGATGTGGCTGCGATGCGGCGACCGTTGGGCGCAGGGAGAAGGGCGAAGCGAGGTCAGCTGGTAAGCTGGGCTCGCTGGCGTCCCAAGCGCGCGATTGGATGGCCAGCGGGGCCAGAGCGGTCGAGCTGAGGATCGCCGCAGCGTGGCTCGAGGATGCGCGAAGTGTGCGCAGACGGAGAGCAAAGGCGATGCAGAGGGCGCGAGGCAAGTCGACGGCTGCAAAGGCTTTTTCCAGGCCAGCCAGTTCCAGCTGGGGGTACGAAGAGGAGGCTGCAGGCAGAGCGGCGGGGGCAACGGCAGCGGCAGCGGCAGGAATGTACAACGATGCGCCCCACCAAAAGTGCACGAGATGGAGCAAGTCGGCGTTGCTGGACGGTGACGGTGATGGTGCCGCAGCAGCCTCTGCTTGTGCACGTGCACCAATCGGCCAGCGTCGCATCGTACCGACAGCATCGGGCAGCGCGAGGTCGGCATTGTGCCACTCGCTCTGCAGCGACGTGAGCTGTCCAGTTGCGAGGTTGAGCGTGACGCCCAGGGTAGCGTGACCGGCGGCGGCGGCGGCGGCATCACCGTCCACTGCGATGGCGCTCCATCGAGGGGGCGCAGAGAGCAGGACAAGCTCGGCAAAGATGTGGCCGCTTGCTTCGTCGTCGCTCAGAGCGGCATACACGTCGGTGATGGGAATGGCACCGCTGGAAGAGGAGCCTGATAGGGCACGACGAATCGCTTTTGCCAAACTGGCTGCAGAATGAGAATGACTCATCTTTCCTGGGGCGCGTGAGCGTGAGTGGGAATGGTGAGGAGTGCGAGGAGTGCGGGGAGTGCGATTGCGAGGGAGGTGAAAGCAAGAGAAGCGGAGGTAATGAATGTCAAGCCCTGCAGATACAGGGGTGCTGCCCAACGCACTCACGCCCACAGCCCATCACTCGTTCACACGAGGCAGCCAGCCAGCCAGCCAATCACATCTCTCACGCTGCCATGTATTTGATGATGCGCTTTCTAAACGAGCTGACTCTGCTTAGCTTTTACGCAAAGCGGACCCTGAAAATCGCTCTTGAGATGGGATTCGAGAACGTGAGTTGGGCCATCGTGAACGTGAATGGGCGCGGCGCGACAAGCACGGGGTCGTGCGCTGCTGGGTGCGGGGGTGAGGTGAACCCCTATTCGTCATCCGTGCCGCGCTGTGCCGTGCCGCGCAATTTAGCTCGAATCTCGAATCTCGAATCTCGACTCCGCCGATTCGGGCAAACCTATGATCGTCGCTGCATGCTGCGCGCGGTGATTGCCGCGGATGCACGCGATATTCACGATTCAGATTATTGATTCTTGATTCTTGATTCGATTCAAATTCAAAATTCTTGATTGCTTTGCCCGCTGCCTCTCGCGCGCCTTGTTGCCAGATTGCGCGCACACGTGATGTGATGCTGAGACTCACGTGACTTGCTGGTGATCTAGTGGAAGGCCACGTGGGCGGGGGTGTGAGCATGGGCGCGATGCGCGAGACGCACGGATGCATGGATGGATGGAACAGCTAGCTGCAGAGAAATCGCGCCACGCCAACCCAACCAACCCATCATCCGCGCGAAGCTTTCGACGAAGCGCGGCTGGCTGGCTGGCTGGCTGGCTGGCTCAGCCTTTTGCCTGCCTGCCTGCATCGATCGCTTCACCATTCGCCATTCATATTCGCATCCACCCAAGGTGCGTCACGCAACACGCAACACGCAACACCCGCGGCCACACCCGCACCCACACTACGCACCCGCACCCGCACCCACACCCGCACCCACACCCACACCCAGCGCTCTCGACTGCCACCCCACTCATCAACACGAGGTGAGTAGATGGCGTCCACATCATCCAGTACCCCACCCTGCCATGCCATGCCATGCCATGCCATCCCACGCAAGCAGCGCAAGCGAGCCCAATCATGATGAGTCAGCATATATTCATAGTTCACTCTGCAGCGGCATTCATTTGTTTCGCGATGAGGAAGAACCAAATCATCTTTCAAAATGTCTTTCACCCCTATCTGAATGTTTGGCAGCGGCAGTGCAGTGCAGTGCTCCGCTTGCGGTGCACTGCGGGCAAAGGCGTGTGGAGTGTGGGCAGTGGGCTGTATGCGGGGGCAGTGTGCTCGCTCGCCCAGCCGCACAGCTCACTCCCTCTTGCTCTTTCCCCCCTTCTTCCCAACGCAGATGTCGACATCAGCAGCATCGGCCGAGTCCCACGTGGTCATTGGCGGCTCTGGATTCTTGGGATCGGCCATCGTCAAGGCGTTGGTGGGAAGAGGGGAGAAGCGCGTGGTGAATGTGGATGTCAGGCCTCCTGATGAGCACAGCCTCAGCACCACCACCATCACCACCGCAGGCAGCAGCTTTGAAAAAGGCGACATTACCAACAAGCAATCGCTCGCACTCCTCTTTGCATCGCTCAAACCCGATGTCGTCTATCACACCGCATCTCCGCTCGCAGACTCGAGCTCGAAGCAGGTGTACGAATTGGTCAATGTGCAGGGAACGCAGAACGTCATCGAAGCTGCGCAAGAGGCTGGCGTCAAGAAGCTCATCTTTACCAGCTCTGCCAGCGTCATCTTTGACGGCACGGACCTCGTCAATGCCGACGAGAGGTTGCCTTACCCTCAACGCGTCTTTGACGAGTATTCGACGACCAAAGCCCGTGCAGAGCAGCTGGTGCTGCTAGCCAACGGCGAAAAAAACCTCAAGACATGCGCCATTCGGCCCGCTGGCATCTTTGGGTGAGTGGCCATGTTCAAGTCAGCTCAAAGGCGATGCGCCCGTCGCGCTAAAGAGCGTCGCGCTCCCTCTCTCCCCCCCCATCCTCTTCGCAGACCCGGTGATCGACAAGCTCTGCCTGGCTTTTTCAAGGTGCTCGCTTCAGGAAAGATCAATTTTCAGCTTGGCGACAACAAGAATCTCTTTGACTGGACATATGTGGACAATGTAGCACACGCTCATTTACTCGCTGCTGACAAGCTGTCTTCGGCTTCGCCCATCTATCCTGAAGAGTTCCTTGCCAGCGTGCACGTCCCTCTCAAAGTCGCAGCCTTGACCGACAAGGCAGATCGGCGCGTGCCCACCTCCGAAAGCAGACTCAGTCCACCTGGCGTGCCCGACTTTGCTGCAGACTTGCCAAGCACATTGACGCGAGAGCAGCGTGGTCTGGATGGTCAGGTGCCCACGATCGACGTTCGAAGGTGAGCAGCTTTTGCGAGAATCTCCTGGCGCCATGGCTGAATACCTTCTTTCCCGCTCGCTGCCAGTGTCGCGCGAAACAAGTTCGACCAGTTCTTCCTGCAAGAGGGTGTGGAGAGCATTAACAATCCGTTGCCCAATGTGTGGGATTATGCCAAGGAAGATCCGGGTGTCCGCGTCGACGGACAAGTCTTTCACATTACCAATGGTCAGGTAAGTGTGTGGACGGGCGTGCATGTGCCAGGCGGCCGTAAAAATCAAGCTCACACCGTCGACGCCGCCGCCGCTTGCCCGCTCAGCCAATGCCATTCTTTGATTTTCCTCGCGCTTTGTGGAAGGCGTACGACGGTACGATTGTGGACCCTGCCAGAGTGTGGAATGTGCCAGTGGATCTCGCCTTTCCGATTGCCGCTGTTCAAGAGTGGTTCGGATGGATCTTTGGCACGAAACCGGACATGACGCGATTCAAGATCACATTCAGCGTGTCTAAACGTGTGAGTGCAGATGCAAGCGGTATGGTGTGGTGCTGGCGGCGCAAGACTCACGCCGCGCCTTCTCGCGCAGTACTACAACATCGAAAGGGCACGCCGAGCGCTAGGCTACACTCCCTTGGTAGGCATGGAAGAGGCCATCGAGAGGAGCGCCAAGGTAGGTGACACGGACCTCGCCATGGACCGCGCGATTCTGCACTGGCGCAGGCTGACCACCTTTCCTGATTGATCGCCTGCAGTGGTGGCGCGACGAGCAGCAACGCGCTGCGAAATGACCGTCCGTGTAGGACTTGGCATCTTGTACCGTCTCGACCATTGTATTACTAGCAATCCATCTTCAGCACTTCTTGCCGCGGCAAAAGAATGAAGCGGCGCCAGGTGAGAGGTGAAGCGTACCAGGGTGATGTTCTGCGCGACTCAGACGACTCGCCGTGGCGATAGCACAGAGTTTGCAGGATGTGAGCGACTTGCTCTGCTCAGGCGAATGACCGAAATTTGAGGTGGTCGCGTCCCCAAGCGGCCATGCGCGAAAAGGCTCCACCGGTCTTTCTTGGCCTCGACATGACGAGCACGGATCATTTGTCCGCACAGTCTCATCTCGGGACAATCGCGAATCACTTTCAAACATAGTATACAATTGCGACGAGCACGGCGCACTGGGCGCCTCATCCCTTGGCACGCTTGCCCGCTCTCCAGGCGAGGTAGGCCAACGAATACGTAGCCAGCGTGGGATCCGTCTGGCCCTTGCTGCGAGCGAGATGCTGAGTCGGACCGTCCAAGGGCGGTGCAGGATACCACAGCACCTTGCCGCGCTCGTCGCGCTCAAACAGGCGTTCTGGGAAGGGGGTGGAAAGCGGAGGCACAGGTCGTCAGATGGTGATCACCCACGAGCACGCGCACGTACACGCAGCTACTCACGCGTCTCTTCAGGCAGCATGGCATTGTAAGCCTCGCTGCCGGCAACCGCAGACCAAACATCTGCGCACTCGTCCTTGGTCCGCTTGCGCTTGTCGCGCGGTCGAGTGGCAGTGGGATCCGGCAGCAGCTCGTCGAGTTGGTGTGCTCTGGCGTGCATAAGGAGGCTCTGCAGGCTCCTGAGCAGGTTGAGATTGTGCGTGCCGTGGCAGCCAAGCGCGACTGCCAGCTCCACCACATCCAGAGCAGGGCCCTCTATCGATCCTAGCCGTTCAAAGGCCGCCTGGGATACGTGGGCGCCGAATCGCAATTTGAGGATGCCGAGCGCCTCGTCGATGCGAGGTTTCAGTGCAGCGGGACTGCTGTTGCGGATGCGTCTGAATGCGGATTCCAGCAGGGTGCTCTGAATGGCTGGCTCGAAGGGAGATTCGGCCGGGCCTCTTTGTCCGACGATGACCGGAGGGCCGACGGCAGGCGGTAGCGGACCGTACTGCCTCGAGGGAGGCGGATGCTGCGGTGTCGAGTCCGCAACAGGAGGAGGTCGGTTGTGAGGGTGCTGCTGCTGTGTGCGCGGTGTGAGGTTGTGCGGAGCGGCGTGAATCAAAGCTTGGGGCACTCCCTGCGACAGTCCTTTGGGTGGCGCTCTTGGAGTGGTGGGATCAGGAGAAGCATCCTCCGCACCCACGACTGGCGCATTGACGGAGCGATAGTTGACGCGCTGAGGTGCTGGTTCCGTGGTCAGCCGACCTGGGCCGACGACGCCGCGGAGGAAGGGCGATGAGACGCGGGGTGGCATTTCCAAAGGCTCCTCTAGACTGTCCAGTCTGCGCGTGCGACGTGCGAAAAGAAGGATCATGTGTCAGCGGAGCAAGCAGGATAAGCCATGTGTGCGGGCACGCGGCGCTCACCTGTCAGACTCTTTGATGCCTTCGGGCAGCACTTGCGCCCAATTCTTGATCTTGATGAAAGTGCCGAGATCCGGTCTCCACCTATCCGCGCACATCCACACGGGCTCATGCGTCCTCCAGAATTGGCCGCTCGGGTCGGGCGTGGGTCGCATGCGAAGCCACTTGCGGTCAAAGAGGACAAAGGTGTGCTCCAAGAGATCTGCGACGTCGTGCACGCCAAACACGTTTGTCTTGAGAATCTCTTGCGGATGAAACGTCTTGTTGCTGTCGTGCGATGTCTCCTCTGGGCGAGCGTAGTAGTTGAGCCACATGCGAGGGCCGAGCGTTGGGGATGTGCTGAGTCTAAAGATGCACGCCACCAAGGGTCTGGATGGATCCTTTTCGCTGGCAGCGTGGACCCAATCGCCCACCTGCACCCTCCTGTCCTTGTACGCCAGCGTCGCGTGCAGCGTCTCGTCTGGCGGCAAGCTCTGCAGCGCTCCCAGGTGCTGCAGCTGCTTGCCCGACGCGTACCTCCTCTCCCGCGTGCTTTGGCGTGTGGGATCGCCGGATGTGAGGGTTTGAAAGAGGCGCTGCAGCTGCAATGCCGCTCCGCAGGCGGGTGTGGCGTGAGGCAGGAACCTTCTCGCGTTTTCGAAGAGCTGCATGAGGTCCAGCTCGAAAGCGCGAGGGGTGGGATAGTTGGGATGCTGTGGGGGTGTGAGTGGCGGCGCCTCGGATGTTGCCTCAGATGCTGCCCCCGTCGTCGCCGTGGACCTGTGCTTTGACAGCTCTGCCAGATCTTCAGCGATGCGCTTTGCGATGGCAGCGAGCGATGTGGGTTTGCGCACCTGGCGTGCGAGTGCGAGCGGAAACCGAGACGTGAGCGTGAGCGGGCGCAAGGGTGCACGCAGTCGCTTCCACCGTCGCGCAGAAGGTGCGCACCGTCGCTTCCACCATCGCGCAGAATGTGCACACCTTCGCTTCCACCAACGCGCAAAAGGCGCATACACACGCGACTCACCAAGGCAAAGTATCGCACACCCTCGGGCGATTCCTCATGAGGCAGCTCGACGAGACCTGCGCGTCGTGCCAGATTGCCGCGCTCATCTTGCTCTGCCAGCAGCGTCGCTACGATCTTTTCGTACACTTTGAGCGAATCGTGCGCGCTGCGATCGCTCAAGTCGAGCCAACCTGCACCTGCACCGTTGCCAGGCGGACCGAGGTTGTGGAACCAGTAGCGCGCTTCTGGCGGATCGGTGTTTGGCGGGGCTGGGGTGATGGAAGCGAGCTCTTGAGACTTGAGGTCGAGCAAGGGCGTTGTGGGTCGCAGACCGCCTTGCGTGAGTGCGGCAGCAGCGCTGGAGGGCAGGTGAGCAGCGAAGCGATGAGGGTGGAGGTGCGCGGGTGAGTGCGCTGAGTGCGCTGGCGAGTGCGAGTGCGCTGGCGAGTGCGAATGCGAGTGCGAGTGCACATGCGTATGCGTATGCGAGTGCGCATGAGGATGTTGTGGTGGCATTTGACTGGGCACTTGAATGTGTGCGTGGCTGTGAGGAAAGGCGTGGGCATGCGACTGCGACTGCGACTGCGACTGCTGCTGCGGCGGGTGAGGATGCGATGCGACTGGGCTGAAGGGTTGCTGCTTGATCTGAGGCGATTGCCGCGGTCGCGCAGCAGCAGCACCGCGTGATGAACTCCAACGGCGATTCCCTCCCTCGTCATCCTCCCCCTGCCCCTCCCCCTGCTCCTCCTCCTCCTTCCCCTCCTCCTCCTCCTCCTCCTCCTCCTCATCATCATCATCTCCTCCATAACCAATCTCTTGCCTGACAATGGCGGCGCTTCTTTGTGGCCTCGCAGACGCGCTACCACGCGCAACTTGGGCAGCAGCAGCAGCAGCCTGCTTCTCCGCCTCGCCCACCTTGCGCCTGCCTGTAGGGTAAGGATCGGGCGCTGGTGGACTTGGACTGAGGGGCGGCATGCCAGCGTTGGCCCTGTCTGCATTCACTCTGCGTCTCCATTCCGCCCTCTCTGCAGCTTCCTGTTCCAACCTGTGCCGCGACGGTCGACCCTTGGTGCGAGGTGGGATGCTGGAGGTGAACTTGCCTTGCGCGGCTGCTGCGGCGGCCGCGGCGTCCAGTGGCATGTGCGATGGAGGGGTGAGTGTGAGTGTGAGTGTGGGTGTGGGTGTGGGTGTGGGTGTGAGTGTGGGTGTGGGTGTGAGTGTGGGTGTGGGTGTGAGTGTGTGAATGCGAGCGTGAATGCGAGCGTGGGTGTGAGCGTGAATGCGAGCGCGAATGCGAGTGTGGGTGTGACTGTGACTGATCACCTCGTGACTGACGAGTGCCATGCGAATCCGAGTCGCAAGTCAGAGTCGCGGTGATATGAAAGCGCGAATGCAGCAGCAAGCAGCACGCAGCACGCAGCACGCGCCACGCGCCTGCGATCGACGTCGCGTACGCGTATCTGTTGCCTGCATGCATCCATGCCTGCTTGTCTGCCAACCGCGACTCACGTGACGTGATGCGCAATTCGAACGTTGGCTATCGCGGCTGCGCATGCGCATGCGCACGGCTTCCTTCAACGATTCCCGCTCGACGCGCGCACGGACGTTGAGTTGCACCTTGCATCTCGAGCTTCTCGCTGCAGCAGCAGCAGCCATGCGCTCGCTCGCTTGCTTGCTTGCATCTCCCCGCCCTCACTCGTGACTGTCAAGTCACCGTGCCCCCCCCCCCCCCCCCCCCCCGCACCGCTCCATCAAGCCTCTTCACTTTCACCATCCATCGAATCGCGCGCACGCATACACACACACACACACACACACGCACACACACACACGCACACACACACACGCACGCACGCACACTCGCACACTAGCGCGCATCACCTCACCTCACCCCCCCCCACCACCACCACCACACCATGTCCGTGCAGACCATCCCAACCAAACCCTTCGAAGGCCAAAAGCCAGGCACGAGCGGTCTTCGCAAGCGCACAAAGGTCTTTTCCCAGCCTCACTACGTAGAGAACTTTATCCAAGCCACGCTGGACAGCTTTCCCAACGGTACGCCCAAATCTTTGGTGGTGGGAGGCGATGGTCGATACTTTAGCGTGCCTGCCATTCAGAGCATCATCCGCGTCGCTGCCGGCAACGGCGTGCAGAAACTCATCATTGGTCAGAACGGCATCCTCAGCACCCCAGCAGTCTCTCACCTCATCCGTCTGCACAGCACCGACGGTGGCATCCTCTTGACCGCGAGCCACAATCCAGGCGGTGAGTGCGGCTGTGGCTGCGGCTGCGAGTGTGGGTGCGGCTGCGAGTGCGGGTGCGGGTGCGGGTGCGGGTGCGGGTGCGGGTGCGGGTGCGGGTGCGAGTGCGAGTGCGAGTGCGGCCTTGCCGTGCTGTGCTGTGCCATGCCATGCTGATGGATGGTCATCGTGCGCACACTGCATGCTCACGTGATGCTCGCCTCGCAGGTCCGGAAGCGGATTTCGGCATCAAGGCCAACTTGTCATCTGGTCAGCCTGCGGGCGAGAATGTCACCGACGCCATCTACAAAAAGACGACGACGATACAAGAGTACAAGGCGGTGCAGGGTGGCGAGGTGAGTGGATGCTGTCATCAAAGTGCATACATGCACACACTGCGCACGCCTCAACTCACACACCCGCTCCCACATCACACCACACCACACGCAGGTGGACTTGTCCAAGGTTGGCGACACCAAGCACGGCAATCTATCCATCTCTGTGGTGGACAGCGTGTCGGACTACATTCAGTACCTCTCCACCATCTTTGATTTCGATTTGATCAAGCAATTCTTGCAATCCGGCTCCTTCACCGTCCGCTTCGATGCGCTGCACGGCGTCACTGGTCCATACGGTCGCGCCCTCTTCATCGACGCTTTCGGTCTGCCAGAGAGCGCCATCCAGAACTGCGTGCCATCGCCAACTTTCAACGGCGGTCATCCCGATCCCAACCTGACCTACGCCAAGAGCCTGGTCGATGCGGTGGAAAAGGAAAATATCTCCTTCGGCGCAGCGTCGGATGGCGATGGAGATCGCAACATGATCATCGGCAAGGGCGCATTCGTCAATCCTAGCGACAGCGTGGCCATCATCGCAGAGTGGGCATCCAAGGGCGTCATTCCCTACTTCAACAAGTCTGGCGGCGTCAAGGGGCTGGCCAGATCCATGCCCACATCTGGCGCGCTCGACCGCGTCGCAAAGGAGCACAATTTGCCCTTCTTTGAGGTGCCGACCGGCTGGAAATTCTTTGGAAACCTCATGGATGCCGGCAAGTTGTCCATCTGCGGAGAAGAGAGCTTCGGCACGGGATCGGATCACATTCGAGAGAAGGACGGCTTGTGGGCCGTCGTCGGTGAGTGCTCGTAGCAGAAGCGCAGAATCCGTATGCACTGCGCTCACACCCGCGTCTGGCCCCTCCCTGCGCGCGCGCGCGCGCGCACGACCCGCCAGCCTGGCTGTCAATTCTCGCTGCGGCCAACAAGGAGAAGCCTGGCACATCTGTGCAGGACGTGCTGCAAGCGCACTATCAAAAGTATGGCCGCAACTTTTTCTCGCGCTACGACTATGAAGAGGTGGACAGTGCAGGAGCCAAGACGTTGATGGACGACTTGGCGGCCAAGTTTGGCGATGCGTCATTCGCAGGAAGCAAGTTGGGCGAATTTGAGGTCAAGAGTGGAGAGCTGTTTGAGTACAAGGATCCGGTGGACGGCAGCGTCAGCAAGAATCAAGGTCACATGATTACGTTTGTGGACGGTAGCAGAATCATCTTTAGATTGAGCGGGACCGGTTCAGCGGGCGCTACCATTCGGCTCTACGTTGGTGAGTGGGGCTGGAACATGAGAGGCGCGTGGGGCGTGCATGGGGGGCTGATCACTTTCCGCCGCCGCTCCCAGAGAAATACTCCAAGGACCCCAGCGAGGTGAGCTTTGCGCGGCGACGATCAACACGGCGGCGCTGCACTGACACTCTGTCTTTTGTCCAACAGTACGCTGCGGATGCTCAAGTGGGCCTCAAGCCGCTCATCGACCAAGCGCTGGCGCTGAGTCAGCTGCAAAAACACACTGGTCGCGACAAGGTGGGTGCGCGGCAGCAGTGTCGTCGTGGTGTGCTGGCATGGTGCTCACATTTGCAAATTCCCCTCGCAGCCCACCGTCATTACTTGAGCGGCGAAACATACACGGCAAGCATGGCACTGCTTCACAGCCCTCTTCTGTCGAAACACTTAACAACTCAATCGCATGCAGTCGCAGAACGAGTCGCTGCCTAAAGGTGTGAGGTTTGGGCGATTTGGGCTCGCGTGCAGCGGCAGCCTTCAGCCCAGCTGCGTCCGGCAAATCGCTTCCGAGACAGCAATTGTGGTGTAGCGTATACAAGCGGCGAGGAGGTGGAGAGCGGGCGACTTATGAGGTGCAGGCTCAGCCCGGGCGCATTGCTAAAGCGGGGAAGGGTGAGATGCGGTGAGGGTGGTGCAAGCGCGATGGACGTCGGCCTGCGCTGCGCATTGAGGGCTGCGTCTTGATTGCCTCAAATAGTCAAGAGTCGCGAGTCGCGAGTCGCGATCAGCAACAACGGCGCCTCGTGGCTGCCACTTCACAACTCACGACTTGCAACGCCTCCTTCTTCCATCCCGCGCGCTCCACTGCATTTTGGACAGCAGACATGGCAGCAACCGCAGCGACGCTCTCCACCCCCGAGGCATGGCGCTCGGTCCAGACTCTGGTCCTCGAAGCATGGCTCTCCGCCTTTCAACTTTGGGACTTTCTCATTTGCGTGCCGGCCGAAGTCAGACGTCTCTACTGGCCCGAGCTTGCGCGTTGGGTGCGCAGCGGTCAGCGTCCGTCGCTCGGCAGCATCTTGTGAGTCCGAGTGGTGCAGAGTGTAGTTCTGCAGACGCTTTGCGTTCATCTGCTGACGCGCAACCGACCCGGCCAGCCTGCTCAATACTCGATTGTTGACGCTGCCAATCATTGCTATGAGCGCCTACTCGTTGGGTCAGCCGCACAAGTGCCAAGTCAGCTGGAGCGTCTGGTTCACCCTCACCGGCCTGGCCCATACAAATTCTGCCGCCATTTTTGCTGTGAGGACCATCGTGAGTTGCGCCTGCCTGCCTCGCGCGGATGTATGTGTATGTGTGTGTGTGCGCGCGCGCGCGCGCGTTGACGTTCTCCCCCCCCCCCCCCCCCCCCCACAGGCCATCCGCTCTGCAGGACTCGTGCTCAAAACGATTCTCTGGATCGGTGTGCTGGCTGTGGCAGGCGCGAATTTGTGGTGGGCACAGACGCTGCATCTCGCTCAGGCACCAGCCACTGTCCCGATCGCGCCAACGTGCAGCGTGCTGCCAGATCAAGTCTCGCTCGCACTGTGGCTGCCAGATGCAGTGATACTCGCATTCGACACGCTCGTGCTCCTACTCACGCTCCACAAGGCCATCGAAGTTTTGCGTCCGTACGGACTTTCGGTCCAGGGGCTACAAGACTACCGCCGCTCGAGCTCCCACCTCACCCGATACTTTTTCGCCTCTGCCATCGGATGGTACCTCATCAGCATGGGCATCCTCGTAGCCGAAGTGGCTTGGGCGAATACGCACCCCAGAACTGACCTTTATCAAGGCTTGTTCATCCCCTTGTGAGTGGGCCTGCGATCGTGGTCTGCGAGCATGTGTCGAGCCTTGCTCGCTCGCGCTGACCCTTGCCAGCTTGTCAGCCACGTCTGGACTTCGGTCACCATTGCACCGCGCGTGCTGAGAGAGATGAAGCTGCGTCAAGCGCATGAGCAGCATTCGCTTCCTCAAGCTTGCGTGGCTTCTCCCGTCTGCAAGAGGTGCGGCGGTGGATCATCGGATGACTCTGGCAGCAATTTGCCATCACTGTCACCTCGAAAGCGCTTCGAACAAGATGGCGGCCACGCGCCACGCGAAACACACTCCCGTCTCAAGACAGCCGTCACCATTGACGACTCGACGGCGTCGCTGCCGACCTTACCTCGCGCCGCACCGCCTCGCGCCCGACGACACGCTCGAGACACTTGGGACAGGGACACGACGCTCAGCATCCTCGATTTGTACCAAGATGTGCCATCGCCATCCGATGCATTCGTGCGCAACGTTAATGAACTTGTAATTAGGCTCGAGCGATAGAGCCACTTCCACCAAGCGGCTCACGGTAAAAGACATGTTTTGAATGCATGTGTACGAATGAGCACGTTGGTATTAGCAGGCGCAGCGTCTCGATATTTTTTTTCGCTTCACGCGATGGTAAGTGCAAAGTATTCATAGCGTAACGCGCGCCACATACCCGCGCAGCTGGTCCAGCAAGTTGTACGTCTCCTTGGCGGCCAGTGATCCAATCACCGGACGGTAATTGTTAGAAGGGGACCACACGCGGCTTCAGTCAAGAGTGATGTACAAGGAGAAGTACTGTCTGCAGGAGCACGAGACGAATGTTGGGGTGGACTTGGGAGGAAGGATTCGGGGTGATGAGCTGGTGAGAAGTCGAGCGAAGACGTCTTAAGGGGTGACCCAAATCTTCCCAAAATCTATTGTGCTTTTGACGTGACGCGCTTGAGCAGCGAGGAGCAAGAGCTTGAGATTGAACGTTTGCGTTGCCTTTGGTGACTGTCTTGCAGCCACAGCGCTGCTCTTTGAGACCACAGACTTGGAGCAGGGCAGGACGAGTTCGCCTACTTGTTACCTTTGGCTGGTGGAGGGGACGAGACAAAAGTGTGTCATTGATATTGTCAATTGTTGTGGCGTGCTTCACACAACTCACGATAATCGATGATGCGCCTCTTCACTCGGGCCGCAAAGGCTGACCATTGGCCGTAACGGTGACTGCTGCCTGAGCAGGCTGAGTCTTGCGCCAACAGTCTGGCCAGATGTACGAGCGCATTAACGAGTGAAGTATCACGGAATATGTTTCCGCTCACAAAAGCGCCCGCTTGCAGGCGAGAGTTCCTTGCACGTCAGGAGAGAACCTGTCGCACTACACCCCTTCTTGCGCATATATCTGCCCGCACCTCTGCAGACTGGATAGGCGAAATGCGCAGTGATCATCTTGTGAGAGAAGATCGTCGTCAAGCAAAGCGCCCGCCAGTGGCAATGTACATGGACATGAACAGATGCTTGCACCACTTGGATTGTCGTCTCTCACATATCCGCGAGCCTGGCAACGAAGTGGAGTGGACATCGGCCCATGTCAAAAGTGCTGGTCGGCACCAGCCAGTGGCAGCAACAATTGCTATCAAAAGGCGCTCTCATCTGATCAAGCGTCTTGAGGACGAGATAGAACAGATCAAATCGGGTGCAAAAAGACCAAATTTGGCCCACAAAACCTCGGTGAATGAAAGTGTTGTACCTAAAGCAAATCGCTTAAGGAGGGCTATCTGGGAGAGCAGAGATAATCACTGAATAGAGGCGTGATGATACGGACGGAGCGCCGGGCAGTATCCAGAGGCTGACATCATGGCCTGTCTACAGTGAACACTCCAGAACAAAGGTGCAACAGTACGTGTTGGACAGATGCAGTGCGGGGGTTGAGAATGGGTGTTGATATCACATGGCCTATCTGTAGTGAAACCCTCACAACAAGCAACACTCCTTAGGGAGTATGGGAACATTTCATTTCCCTTCATCAGCATGGCGGAGAAGAAATTGAGGGACAAAGATGGACGTCAGAGAATCCTCTTTAAGAGGGTGGACAAGGCGCGTAAGTGGCTCAATGCAGTGCTTGCCAAATCACCAATGCAGAACCTGGAGGCAAATGGATGGTCTACGGTGCAGGGTTCACACCTCATCTGTGGCATCCACGCCTTCAAGGTAGAGCTGTTTAGGCTACAGTGGGATACTTGGCTTCACAGTCAGAGATCTTCACTTGCGCCAATGACTACAGCATGGCAAGCATTTGCAGCCACGCAGGATGCCAAGCGGCCTGCCACGGATGACGACCAGACAACTGCAATCTCCTGGGCTACCAAAGCTCTTGGAGAGGAAGTCAAAGGTCTGACAACATTGCTGCCAGTGCTGCATTGTCCCGGATGGAAGAAGCATGATGAGATACAAATGCGATATATCCCAAGAAGGTGGTGGAGGGAGTCAAACCAAAGGTATCTGAGGTGGAGTATAAGCTTGATGCTAGCATCAGAGCAAATACCGAATGGAAGAGCAACAAGCTCAACATTGCTCTGTTGAAACCTCTTGAGGATGTGGATCCACAGGGACAAGAGCCCCAGCTGGCCCTCATCCTTGATGCCAACCTGGTGAAGACTCATGAAGCCACCAAAGATGTAGAATTGGTGGATGGCCGGCTCTTGAGCCAGGCCAGCATTGCTGCAATGAAGTGGGATCTCTTGCACACTGATGGTTTACTCCTTGGTGTACGCATGGATACCCATGGAGCACAACAGGCTGCTGTGGGGACAGCGCTCTGCCAGGCGGCAGTCAAGTCAGCTCTGCTGACTCGATCAAGCTGGCGGCGGGAGAGTGCATGGACAAACTCTGAAGCTGCTGCAAGTATCAGATACCGGTGGGAGGATCATTGCAGGAAGGTTGGGCCTTACCAAAACACTGGTAAAAAGCTGACTGTATGTAATGGAAGGTTTAAAGTATTGGGATCTGAGCTGACTGTGTGTTGTCATTACAGAAAGATCAACAGAACCAACAGGCTATTCAAGATGAAAATATCTTGGAATACCTTGAGGGACTGACAGTTGGCATCCTCCCAGGACTTTACAAGGAGCACAGGACTGTGACAAGGGAAGCAGGACTGTTGTCACTGGGCTATAGGGGACTCAGACCTGCAAGTCAGAGTGTTTGGGCACCGTCAGGGAACAAAGTGGCGCAAAGAGCTGTCCTCATGCATGTACCAATATGTGTGCGCAACAAGAGCAACTCACCAGATGCGGCGTCAGCAAGCAAGCTTGCAAATGACGACCACGACAAACTCAGGTTGGGCGCCGTGTTGCAATTGAGACGAGCAAAAGGCAACAGATTGCCATGCTTGTTGCATCCGCCGTCGTAGTTGCCCTCGTTGTTGTGGTCTTCAAAAGCCTTCTTTGGGAGCTTCGTAATGCCGACTGCCTTAATGTGTGCATTGAAGGACTGTGTTCTCTTATTGAGTCAGCGCTTGGTACAACATCACTGCATGGGGCACGGTTGCTCGCTAGCTTGCTCGCTTGCTTGCTCACCTCCATCTCCTGAACCAGGTTGCAAAGTGACGCTTCTGCTTGAGTACATCCATGGTGGGGTTGATGTGCATGTACTTGCGCTTGTTGACCTTGAGTGTAGCTTCAAAGACAGTGATCTGCGAGTTTGAAACAATGGAACGCACGAGTCAGAACGGTGCTAGCTTGATGTGCTAGACGTGAGGACATTCTGAGGATACAACTCATGACTCTGTGGTAAACCTCCTGCAGCTATTTGCGCTGAACACTTTGACTCCTTCTTGTAGTGGAGCAGCTTTTTGAACTTGGTCTTGGCGTGCTCGAGCTGGCAATGTGCGGTCTGCTGCTCACTGCCTCCCTTGGTGTCTATGCTCTTTTCTGCTTCTTGAAAGTATTTGGCAATGCGTACGGGTAGATGTACCCTATTCACAGTGGGCTTTGGCTTCGAGTGGACAGGCATTGTGAAAGAGGCATGTGGGATGAATTTCCATGTTGTGGTCAGAGTCAAGAGTTGAAGATGATGAAGCTTTCTCAACAGAACAATTGAGATCACAGTAGCTCATCCCTACTCCTCCTCCTCATCATCATCATCATCATCCTCCTCCTCATCATCATTGGTATCCTTCTTATCCTTCTCCTCCCCCTCCTCCTTGGCCTCCTTGGCCACCTCTACCAGACAACTGCAATCTCCTGGGCTACCAAAGCTCTTGAAGAGGAAGTCAAAGGTCTGACAACAGTGCTGCCAGTCCTGCGTTGGGGTCTGATCCACACCAAGCAGTTTGAACAGGATATCATTGGTCCTCTGCTGTGGAGAAGCCTCAATGCAAATGGGGTAGCGGATGATGAGCGATGGTGCTATGGACTAGTACAAGCACCGGCATTCCACTCACAATGAACATAGCCGTAATGAGCAGCAAAGAACCTGGACAGCGCTAGGGGTCCTGAGGGTCCTGACCTTGAGCAGCAGCAATGGCCGCTACCTTCAATTTTCTCTCAGCTGTCACGCAGCTGGCCTTGAATGCTTTGTGGCACATCTCCCTGACCACCCTGTCTGCATTTGGCAGTCTTCCCTCTTCCATCAAGGATCCGCAGGTGATGTTCTGCATTACCTCAACCAGCCCAGGACTGTCACCAGGGAGGCTGGACTACCGTCTTTGAGACATTGAGGTCACATCATGCAGGGAACAGCAGCAACAGGATATATCTCAGGTCATCACACGGTAAGTGAAGAACATACTTTCCCTGTTGAACATAGCTAATCACTGGTTTCTTCCAGGATCCCCACGATCCTGTCTTTACTGTAGGGCTGGATGTCACAGACAAGGAAACTTGGGACAAGATGCCGCCCGGTGGATATGACTTTGGGATTGGGCAGCTGGGCGTCATCATGCGGAATGGACCAGGGGTCTTTATGATGTGGCGAGGATTGATAGCGCATGGGACAACGGTGCCCGGAAGCAAGGAGGACTTCAATAGGCTGGTTGAAGAGCCTCAAACCTTGGGCTGTGCTGCATACCTTAAACCTCCCATAATGACCCAAGCTACAAAACTCACCAAAAAATTAATAGCAAGACCACTTGGGGCGCCTGAGGCCATCAACTTCAAACTTGGTGACCCCTGCATTTCAATTCATTAGTTTGACCCCTTTGTACATTGTGCACACCACAAATTTACAATCACGACGCAAGACGCTGCTTGCTGCATCCTTTCAAGCAGACATTGACGCTTTTTACCGCAGCATGTTGCATGTTCCTTGGATGGAGCTATTACTCAACATGTACCATGCACTTCTAGAGCACGCCACTGCCTTGCACCTTGGTTGGATCTAATACAGGGCATTGCTCTTCAGCTATCAACATGCTCAAGACGGTGATTGACCCCACATTGCTAGAATCTTGCAAGCAGAGACAATTTCGAGACATGCACTAAATGCTCTCTTCTGGCTCTTGGTGCACGTGAGAGTCTTTGATGCGGAAGGGTCTGGACGTCACTCATGGAAAGCGCCTTACAGAACCTTCTGTGGAATACCATCAGTCGCGCCATACGGGTTTCTCAGGGTTCCAACCCGGCCTTGTGCAATCTAACTCTTGCTGTCGACTCTATGTTCAGAGACGCGGCCAGCAGCAACGAGAATTGCTCCAAATTTGAAAATTTATATTCGCACACGATCGTTTGGCAGACTTGGGGCGCAGCTTCTCCGCCAGCGCTGCCATTTTCACTCACTTCACCCCAGTGCAATCGCGTAAATTCTTCCCATCATTCTATGGTTGCGAACGTCGGCATCGGAGAAGTGCAACGAGGACATCCTGGTGAAGAGCAATTGATTCTGCGACTGTCGCCAACAGCTAAACGACTTATCCCAGTGCGGGTTTGCGATGCGTTAATTCAACTTGCTCCTAGAAACCTCAAGTATCTACTCAGGAGCGGGTCAGGCATAATCTGTTCCTCACCAAGTCACCAAGAGCTGACGCATACGCATCTTGGCGTTGTTTGTCCAACATTGAAGCTTGCGAGAAGAGTGCAATTTGATTTCCTTTAGTGAAAGACAAAACGCAGAGATGCGCATCACTTGACGCTTTCTGAGAGATCAACCTGCCACCGAATGTACTCAAAGAGTTAAGCTGCGTGATGCTCACATGAACTTTGTCTCGTAAAAGTGGTTTGATGCGCATCTTAGACAAAAATGCTTCTCATCACTGCGCTGCATGCATTCTGCACAGGAGCAAGATGAACGTTCTTGTTTCCCCGCGACGCGCGATCGCTCGGCTCTGAAGTAGAGGCGCGCGTTGCGAAAGATATTCTGACCCGTTTCGAGTCTGACCTGCGCTCCAATGTCTTGACATGTCTCGGTGTAGACACTACTCAGATCGGGAAAGAGAGAGCTCGCTGCCGGACAACTGAGCCACAGTCGTTCTGGCCAATTTGATATGCAGCGACTTATCTGTGCAGTACAGCAAATTCGCTGCTGATACCACATCCGTTCCGCCAAGACATGGTGCGTTCGAGAAGAAAACCCCCGCATTGAGGCACGCCATGTTCTCTACAGTTTTTCCCAGCCCTTCAGACTCAATAAACTGTCTATAGCGCAGCCGGCCTGACTGTCAAGTATTCGAATGCTTCGTCACCACTTAAATCCCGAACCAGATTGCTTGTTAACAATATTCCAATAGCAATTACGAAGAACATATGCTGAGATGGTGCGCATCTAGTGCGAGGGTGCCTGACGGCAATATCCCACAGTGAGAGCTGGTAATGAAGAGACACATGACAAGGAAACAATAGCGCAATCGAAAGCAAGCGCAGCGGTCTTCCTTTTCGGGGTGTAGCTTTGGAATCAACATGAAAGCGGTAAGCTTCATCTGGCGGAGATCGTAGAAGCTCCAAGATGATGTTCGGCTTTTCAAGAGAGTTTTAATCTGATAGCCTGCGTTGCAGGTCTCTGTCAGATGAAAGTGCAACAGGGATTTTCTCGATGTCATTCTAGCGATATTAAAGCTTACAACATCCTCTAACAACAATTAGCGCGTTGACATTCTCCCGCCTTACTGAGAATGAATGCAACATGGAACGCCTCGCGTCGCGCTGCACGTCCACGCTTCAAATAGAAAAAGGTGTACAAGACACTTTTGGCCAAGTGAACATGGCATCGTTGAACAATTAGCAAAACGCCTCCACGTCTAGAAAGCGAATCTTTTCAGGCGACAGAACCGTTTCTTCCGAGTCCAAGAGTACAATTGTTTTGTGTCCTGTGTCTGAAACACCTTTCGGAAAGTCGGCGCGCTGCTGTGAGTCAAAGTTTGCGTGAATATTGATGTTTCTCGAGCTCCCTGCGAGACTGCAAATTTGACAATTCATGACGCTTGTGAAACATGTGTGGCGTCAGTTGATCTTGCTCTTGATGGATTTGTCGAGGGCGTGCAGTCGAGAATGACGCCCATTTGATCGAGCTGAAAAATACTTACAAGAAACTCGGATTGTACGGCGGGAAAGAGGGTCTTTTTGTTTCCATAGCAGCGTCAGACCATTGAGCTTGCAACAGAAGCGCAAATTTCGAGTATCCTATGATGCCTCACAAGTTCATGAGGCTCACTGCGCTCGACAACACTGTTTTCGCAAACCTAAGCTGTACGTGGCCCTTTCAGGGTCATGTACCCACGGGAAGCATTCTAAAATTGAACGCGTAGAATTTGCCCATCTCGAAGTGCCGATTCTACCCAACGTGACATTTTGCTCCTCAAATTCGAGTCTGATTGAGTTTTCCACTCGTTTGTCTCGTTGAGCGAGAGCTCTCGCAACCGGATGCCTTATCTTTACATCAACATTTTTTGTATATTTACCCAAACATGGTTGGCCATCTCAACTTCGGAGTTGAGCAAATTTACACAGCTGCGCAATACAAATCTGCAGTTGACAAGCCGGTCTTGGCAGGCCAGCAGCGCCACGGTACCGAACCTGGGCTTTAAATCAGAAAGTTCAAGAATTAGCCAGTGACTCAGCTAGATCGCAGCCGCAGAGCTTCAATCCAGCTCAGCGTCTGCAGCTCACAAGTGTCGTCGATTTCCCAATAGTTTTTCTTACCTACCGTGAGGAATACACTAGAAACGGTCAACTTCCGTTTCGTGCGGTCACTGCCGTGCCGTGTGTGGCAATTGGTTTTTCCGGCTTTTTGCCCTCAGAGGCACCAGCCGCTCTCGTCTGATGGCTACTGCTCCAATTTCTCAGGCACAGATGCATGATATTTAATACCGCTGACTTTTCTGCAGACTCTTCATCGCCAGAATGCTGAGACGGCTTGTCAGCATTTTCACTTCTCGTACCTTTGTGCGCGTTGCTGACAGTCGTGACCGTTGTAAATGCACCAACGCTGACTAGCATACATCCTTCAGACCATGCAACGGGAGCCAAAACTTCCTGACCGTGTGGTAGTAGTGGTAGTTTCTCACCGTGCAGTAGTGCTGGTGGTATCTCATCGCGCGGCAGTGGTGATTTGAATAAAACCTTCCAACACGACAACCTTTGACGACCAATTGGAGTTGTCTTTTCAGATGGCAATGTGAGGTGGGCACTGAGCCAGATATTCAGGAGCGCAGAGGCCGTAGATGCGCAAGTGGTTTCAGCCAGTGAAGAGATCCGAAGGCGGCTTTTAGAACTTTGTGCCAATCATCGCTTCTGAATTTGGCCTTGCAACTGCTGTTGCCAACGTTTGCAGCGTCATAGAGATTTAGAGCAATGAAGACATGAGTCAGAGCCAATGCCCTCCAGCCAACAGCAATCTTCTCAAAGATGAAGTGAATGCAATCCGGGCTTGCTCCAACACGTTCTTTTTTTGCCTTTCGACAGAAACGTTGACCCATTGTGGGCATTATAAGTGTCCAACATGTAAGCATTAGCAAGCAACAAGCAAGTCTGGATTAATGAGGTTGACATACTCATGTTTTTGCTTGACGATGTGAAAGTATGTGGCTTTCCAGCGCAGGCGTTTTTTGGAGCAACGTGATAGACGCTGGCGACGCAAATTCTCCTTGGTTGCCTCTTGTCTTGGCGCAAAGACACGAATCCCAAATGCCGTCGGGATAGCCAATGTGGAGCAAAAGACCACCTGCTTGCTTCGGATGGGACATCTCTCAGACACACCCTGCAGATTACTGCGGCAGAACATTTGCCGCTGAAGGGGAGCAAGCCATGGCTGAGACTTGCTTTTTTGTTCAATTTGATCCAGAAGCCTCTGGCCTCTGTCACCATTACAACAGCAGCGCTGCGCACAACATGCCAGCATCTTGTTCGGGGCAAGAGCAAGAGCTGCAGGAGAACAGAAGTCAAGAGTAAGGAGAGGATGGCAAAGAAGTAGACAACAATTGTGCAAGCAACTCGGACTTCTCTGCAACGCCTACAGCAACGTCGAGCACCGTGCAGTAGCGGAGGTGGTGTCTCACTGGGCAGTAGCTGAGGTGGTGTCTCAATGGGCCACCTCAGGACCGCGATGGACCAGCTTTGTTGGTCTTGTCTGCAAGCGCAGGCTTCACGGTATCCAATCATTCATTGCGCTGCTTGGAAGAGGGCCGCCGGCTGTGCTCCGTTGTTCGATGATTATTTGCGCTGAGAGGGGCAACGCAGGGGAGGGGGCAAGAAATGCAGTAGCGGAGGTGGTGTCTCACCGTGCAGTAGCGGAGGTGGTGTCTCACCGTGCAGTAGCGGAGGTGGTGTCTCACCGTGCAGTAGCGGAGGTGGTGTCTCACCGTGCAGTAGCGGAGGTGGTGTCTCACCGTGCAGTAGCGGAGGTGGTGTCTCACCGTGCAGTAGCGGAGGTGGTGTCTCACCGTGCAGTAGCGGAGGTGGTGTCTCACCGTGCAGTAGCGGAGGTGGTGTCTCACTGGTTCTGCCTAACATTGCTTGCAACAGCATGACGGGCTGAGTCCTTGTTACTCACCAGCCTATCCCTCTCATCTTTTGCGTTCCAGTGCAGAGACCCACAATGCTATTCTTGTCTGGCATCTCAAGCCCATTGTGAGCCAATTTGGCACATTGAGTGACCTGCATCACGTTCCTGTCACTTTTGGTGTTGGGCCTTTTGGCTGGATTTCTTCCTGCTCGCCATTTTGCCTTTGATGTGGAGCTTGTGTAAGTGAATATTGTACTGGTGGAGATTTGGTTCTTTGACTCTCTTGGATATACAGCTTACTCGCTGGTCACTCAGGTTGTGGACTCACCCTACACTTTTCTTTCCGGCCATGGGTCTTGGCACCGGCACAAGCCTTGCACTTCTCTTCTGCCGCCATTGCTCTGACTATCCGCCCCCAGTCACTTTCTAAGGCGCGTACTCGGTCTTTCGCCTGTGCTGTTCCACTTGCGCACTCGGTTTGCCATTGTCGCTAACAATGTAATGTTGTGCAAGCGATAAACCAACCAATGGAGCCCTTCTGCCGCTGATGACTTGCTGACACCACTGACATCAACCGGCCAGCCGTTCAGAGCGCTGAAGATGTTGACGTACGCACCTTTAAAGCAAGCTCTTTCTTCAGAGCCTTGTTCTGGCTCTTCAGAGCCTCGTTCTGGCTCTTCAGAGCCTCGTTCTGGCTCGATGGCGTCCTCAGTATTCTCTGCAGCGAGAGGGGGCAAAGGAAGGCTGTCAAATTCGAAGGTGGCAGCACCCATGACGCTTCCGGCATCCTCGTTCAAAGCATCTTTGTTTAAAGTGTTTGCACCAGTAACGAGTTCATCTGCGGTGGTAGGGCTGGGAAGAGGAAGCGGCGCCAGGTTGCAGATCTTGCGCTTAATGTGATGGAAACCGCCACAGACGAAGCCAGCAGCTTAATGTGATGGAAACCGCCACAGACAAAGCCAGCAGGAGGACAAGGGAGGCTGTAGTTGGCAGCGGGAGGGCGAGGGAGGCTGTAGTTGGGAGTGGGAGGGCAAGGGAGGCTGTAGTCGGGAGTGCGAGGGCAAGGGAGGCGGTAATTGGGAATAGGCGTACGGAGGTTCCAGTCGGTTGGGAAGGCAGGAAGGACTGGGCGCGGACGCGGACGTTTGAAGCAAGCTCTTTCTTCAGAGCCTCGTTCTGGCTCTTCAGAGCCTCGTTCTCGCTCTTCAGAGCCTCAGAGCCTCATTCTCGCTCTTCAGAGCCTCGTTCTCGCTCTTCAGAGCCTCGTTCTCGCTCTTCAGAGCCTCAGAGCCTCATTCTCGCTCTTCAGAGCCTCGTTCTCCAAGACCAAATTTTTGAGCAGAAAGCTCTGACCTTCAAGACGATGAGCCTGCTCGCTGATAGTCTCCTCGAGGGAGCCAATCTGATCGCGCTTTTGCTCAATGGTTGCGTCTTGACGGGCAATTTTACGCCAGTCTTAGGAACCAAAGCCAAGGGTGGGAATCAGGAGGTAACCTCCAACATTGCATCGCTGACTACGATGAACCAGATCTCTCGAATGACGCTATTCACCACTCGCATTGTTTACTGCAAAATCGATACTTTTAGCAACAAGAAAGGTAAAGGTCGGTGCATTGCAAGCTTTTCAGGCAGCCTGCGCCACTAATCTGGCTCGAAAAGACGCAAATTTGTAGATTTCAAATGTGTCCCTCAGTCGTGAGGCTGGCTCAACAGAATCTGTGCGTCATTCAAACAGACGTTGGCAACCAGTGGTGGCAGCATGCGCGATTTTATCAGAAGGGACTCTTATGTCGCGTGCTCTCCCTCTTGTGCAACTTTCGACATGTGAAACATGTCTGTCTGTGCCGCAAGTACACAGTGTCAAGGGGCGCTGTGATGTGTAGCATGTCCATCACTGGTCGTACAAGCTACCCGGTCGCAATCGCTCTCAAAGATGAGCAAGTCCGCAAAGTGCAACCGCGAAGTGAAAGTGGGAAGACTTCAATTTCGTATTCTTACTTCAAAATGTCCTGTGAGACTCACTCACTCACATCGTCAATGAGCCACTTGCCACCCCATCACTGTGAATGCTCTCACTCATGATACATCCCACACTGATGCTCAGCCGCAGTTTCTCGGCATCAAGCTCTATGCAAACGATCAAGCAATGCTTCCGACCTTGCGGTGAAAAAGCAGACAAGCAATAACGGGAAGTTACACGTAATTAAACAAGGTATATCTGCTGTTAAGGGATGCAATGCGCCCTTCACCTCCAAGGTCGTCTTTCGTGGCATCCCTGCGCCCTCAATGAGAGTTACATCGCGAAGGGGCAGACTTGTGTTTGAGTAGCCGTCTTTCCGTCATTCTTTGGTGCAATCACCTCCTCTTCTTATGCAAAGCACAGGGACTGCCTTTATTCGGACGATGAATATTGCTACTAGCTCTTCGCCAGAAGGCTAATATGCTTTGCCAGCTTCTTTCGACCTGTCATTGTTTACCACCAAGGACGTGATGACGATATGAATCATGGCTTGCTGCTGCTCCTTGCGACTGGTCATCTTTGTTCATTGAAGCTCTTTGCCCCCACAGCATTGTTTTGAACAACAGAGACTTCAAGTTGCGGTGCAGTCACCGGTCTGAGTGTAAATCGCGCTGGACAATGTTGCCCATTACGGGCAAATACATCAGGCAGCATACCATTCTTTCCTGACAGATTCTGCCATCGACAAGGCTCAGGGAGAGGCGATCAATAACAAACAATAACAAAGGTGTGCAGACAAGCTGATGTATTGTCCTGCGATTTGAATGACAAGACGCGGTGCCCATTGATGGCGACCACACTTGCGATAGCGGCGGCGCATTGGATGGGTGTGGTGTGTCAAATATATGCACACACGCACCATCGCTCAATTGTGCGCTGCCTGGCTTCTTTGCCTCTCATGATGGTTGCATTCCACAAAGCGTGGCAAGTTTGATCAGTGACAAAGCCAGGACCGTACGAGCGAGCGGTCAAGTCGGGCGACACCAAGAAGAGTATGGCGCGTGATGCCCAAGTGTCCGAGCTCGAAGCAGGAAAGCCTCTCTGAGCGCGATTGCAAATTCTGATCTTCATAGACGACGCAGGGAGTTATGTCGGTAGCCCGTCGATGATGTGGATCAGTCGCATTCAACTCCAAGCAGTGCTCCTCTGCATTTGCCACCCGATCTGAGCCAAACGAAGATGCACGGACAATCCAACGAGCAAATTCGCGACGACCGATCGAATTCTATGACACCGGTCTTCTGATCCAGAAGAAATAGTTGGCCTGTTCTGAAGGATTGAGGGGCAAGCCCTTGGTCCACCTGGGCGCCAATTGCCAGATGCCCTTCCAAGGGAGGTATGCGACGCCTCGAGACTCGTGCAGAAGCCTTTGCGTCGGTACAATGTTGTCACGCTGCTCCTCCTTCGGCCGTATCCAGCCGACCTTTGTGTCGCTAAAGAAGCCGACCAGCTCCGACGGATCGATATACTGAGAGTGATTGTGCGTACCGCGAGAGACGAGATCGAGGGCGCGCTCGGCAACGAGGATAGTCAAAAGGTACGACAAGGGAGTGCGAGCTATGGTGGACAGGAACAGGTGCCCGCCGGGCTGGGCGGGGCGGGGGAACGAAGGTCGAGCAAGAGGAAGCATCGGCGTCAACATTTGCTCAAAAGGGGGGCCTAGCGGACAGGCACACTCACTTTGACGAGCTGGGTGAGCGTCTGCAAGAATTGAGCAGGCTGATTGACATGCTCGATGACCTCCATGGCCGTGACGACATCGTACTGAGCCTCATTTTGACCTAATGCAGCGCTTCGCTCAGCCAGCAAGTCCTCGGCGGTGATGTGCTGATAGCTCAAACTTGCTTGGTGGCGATCCGCCCAGGGCTTGGATGCGCCGTTGGAGGGATGAAGATGGAGGGCAGGATCTTGGGACGCGTGAGAGATGGCCATGTGGATGTTGCTCGAGGAAGCGTCTATACCATGAACGCGACCCGAAGCGCGAGCCAGAGACTGGGAAATGCAGAGAAAAGGGGCTCGGGTGTGAGATGGCGGTGTGTGGGCAGGGCAGGGCAGGGCAGGGCGGGGCAGGCGCATACAAGCGGTGCTACATGAATGCTATGCTCACCTCTGTGAGCAAGCCTGCACCGCAACCGACGTCCAAGCATTCCAGACCTTGCAGCCAGTCCCACTCGCCGTCGCACAGTGGAGCTTCGTGTTCTGGCTTGCTAGCTGCTTCCCGCACGCTGTCATCCCAGGCGCGCACCTCTGCCAGCTTCTCCTTGATGAAGCGGATCCTGACTGGATTCATGGCGTGCAACAGAGCAGTCTCGCCCGTAGGTGACCACCATTGTTGCGACAAGCGAGAAAAATGAGCGACGGATTGGGGATCCAGGGAGGAGGAGGGCGAGGCAGAGGAGGTTCGCAAGCTCTTGGAGGAGGTGGTGGAGAAGGATCGGCAACTGGGCGCGAGTAGGACAAGCTGCTTGCCCCTGGGAATGCGCGATGAGGTGGTAGCTCCGCGAGGCGACATCACTGGCTGAGACAATGGTGGTGGTGGTGGTGGTGACGATGATGCTGGGAATGCTGATGGACAGGAGGAGCGGCTGCGAGGGTGTGCAGATGAAGAAGGGGCGGCAGCAATGCGTGCCGAGCTGCTGCTGGATGCTCGGCGTGTGGCCATCATCATTGGGTCGATGTCGCCTCTAAGGGCTGTCTGGCGGAGGGCAGTGGAAGGTGTGATGGGCTTCCAAGATGCTATCGAGAGGAAGAGTGTGAGTCCTTAGTGCAGGCAGGAGTCATGGATGTGGAGTGGTGTGTGTGCGTGTGTGGGTGTGCGTGTGTGCGCGTGCGCGTGCGTATGCGCGTGCGTATGCGCGTGCGTGTGTGTGTGTAAAAGCGATGAGGCGCCGGCCTTTGTAGTCACGCATGGCAACCGCGTCACCCGCGGCCCTGCGGCTGATGTCACACACTCTCGCGCACGCTGCATTACCGCGGAAATCCACGGAGCTTGTGCACGGCGGTGTATGTGCGTTGCGTCAATCATAATCACGAATCTTGAATTAAGCGCGTTGCAGTGGGAGTGGACGGGCACGCGGCACGTCACTTTGCGCGGTCCACACGCGTCGTGCGCGTTCGGGTGCGCGTGTAGAGAGGCAGCGAGCGGGACAGCGATGTGGATGAAATGTGAATATTCACATTCAAATTCGTGAATGGTAAAGCTTAAAGTGAATCACGAGATCAGTGGAGGCAGGAACCTGCTTGCCACTTACCCACTTCGCTCCATCACATTCACATTCACATTCACATTCACATTCACATTCACATTCACATTCACGTTCACATTCACATTCACATTCACACTCACACTCACACCACCCCTCTGCAATCGTGTGCGTATGCGTATGCGAAATGCAAGCTGATGGCGTGCACAAGAGGCGCAGATTGTCGCCGCAGAGCATCCGCACTCCAACGCGCACTCATGTCGCCCACGCCTCTGCCTCTGCTCGTCCACATGCTCAGCACGAGCACGAGCAAGGGCATCGGCATCGCCATCCCTACAATTCTCAAGATGAGGATGCAGAGGAGCAAGTGGACAGCGACAGCGACTCGCAGGAGACCGATGTGCATGTCCATGTGCCCAATGGCGATGTGCACGTCCATGTGCCCAATGACGATGACGATGCCAGCAGCAGCACTTTGACTCTGAGCGTAGCGTCAGCGTCTACACCCGCGTCTGCACCGACCATCATCAGCCACTCAGGGTCCCACAAAGAGTCGCCTTCTGCTCGACTCTCCATTCTATCGCCCGCATTCCTCACCCCATCTCGCCACGGCCATGCAGGCTGCCACGCAGCACCTGGCCGCACCCCCTTCTCCCAAACATCGCCCAACATCGATGCTGGCGCGCTGCAAAGCGCTGCTTCCACACAGCACCTTCGCAAGCCCACGCAAGGCATCCTCAAGCAAGCTCAGATGCTGCGCCCGCCTCCTCCTTCCACCAACGCTGCACACAGCGGACAGCAGCGCGACTCTGCCTTCTTGTCCAGCTCGCAGTCCCAGTCCATGCTGGCAATGGGACAGCAGATGCTCTCCGCAGTCAGAGCAAAGACCGCCGCACAGCGAGCTGCTCAAGAAGCTCTGCTGGAAGCCGAAGCCGAAGTTGAAGTCGAACGCGAAGCCAAGTCCGAACACGCATTTGCGCTTGCGGCCGAGGAGCAGCAGCAGTCGTGGGCGCTGGAAGAGCGCACACGCTTGCCGCACTCTCAGGAACGGCAGTGCGCTGGCCTGGGTGGCACATCCAGCCAATCGGATCCATGCGCTGACTCCTACGCTTATCCAGTTCGGCCTTCGACGCCGCCTCACATGCCAAAGCATCGCTCGCGCACCACTCTTCCCACCTTGGACGTCCTCTTGCAGCCCTCGCAGTACCCAAAGATGAATACAGAGGGCAGACATGAAGGATCAGGCATGGCGCCAGGGTCTCTGCTTGAGGTCACAGGTGGACCTGGCACAGGCAAGACTGCACTGCTGGCGGCCATGGCGGTAGCAGCAAGACTGGACGCTCTGCGCGAATGCTTGCTTCAAATTTCGCACGGCTCATGCGAATCGCAGCGGACGGACTGGGATGCTCTCGTAGACAAAGCCGAGAGCGTACTTGTCATGGGTGAGTGCCTGAAGTAGGATCATGCCATCTCCACCTTGACTCATCTGCCTGCCAAGCTCTATCTCATGCAGACACCGAGGGCAGTTTGCCCCCATCGCGGATTCTGCAGGCAGCCAGATCGCAAATAGCCGCACTGGATGCGGGCGACTCTTTGTTGGTATGCTGCAGGAGTACTCCTGCCGTGAATACGCTGGCCGATCTGCACAGGTCGGGCGCCTGTGCAACTAGCGGTCAGGCGTCGCGAATGCTCGTCAAGGCAGTACTCGTAGGTGTTCACCACTCGAGGGTGCCCACACTAGCTTCGCTACTTGCGCACATCCACCTGGCTTTTCCGACTCGGCACTTCGAGTCAACGGAAGAGGATGGTGACATGGCGCCGGACGAGCACTCGAGCCATCTGCCCGCTCGAGTGCGCTTGATTCTCATCGACTCGATCTCATACCACCTCAGAGGGCCGCAAGGCGAGACTGCGGCCGATCGATCCATTCGCTCCCACGCGCTGTCTCGCATCGCGCAATTCGCAGAGCGATCACGATCAAGAGGCATATGCGTGGTCGCCTCGAATCAAATGACCGTCAAGTTGTTCGGCAATGCTGGCGAAGTCAGCAATTTCAGGAACCACGAAGCTACAGCTCGACTCGTACCTCAAGTCGTTCGACCAGTCGTGCGGTACGAGCACGAGGATGATGGCGAAGGACCTTGCGAAATGGTTGCGACAACCGATGAAGAAGCTGCGTGGGCCTTTGGCGAGCGGGGAAGCATCTTGGGCGAAGAGACGAGCCGAGTCACGCTATTCCGTGCCGGGCCAGATTACCAGACGTGAGTGTAGCAAGAGGGGTCGGCTTGGCTTGCCATTCAGGTTCGTGCTTCATCGCTTTGCTCATCGCATCCGCTTGGAAACAGGTTTGCGCAGCTGACAGGTCAAGCGGCGTCGCATGCTACCGCACTTACGTCGGCGTCGACTTCGCCAGCCATCAAAACAGAGGCACCTGATGGGGATCTTGCTGCTGACGAGGCCACACATCCACGAGACGAGCGAATGATAGCAAGCTGGAAGACTTGGATTCGCTTCCACATCGATGTGAGTGCTTTGAGACCTGTCAGCACTGTGAGAGCGGCCCCGGACGCAAATGGAAACAGTCCCCCGAGCGATTCTCTCGCGCATCGCTCTTGGCTTTCTGCACTGACGTTGTCTGCTCGACTTCCGCTGCGCACAGGACCAAGGAACTCCTCACGAGACACGGCGGCCTTTTCCATCACATCATGCTCAATCACATGTTTAATCCGTCGCCCCCGCTGGGCATTCCCAGACAAGCAGTGCGTGACAATGTGTGTCATTTCACATCGGACGGCTGGATAGGGCACCGAAGTGAATGATGGGGACAAGGCTTGCAGCAGGTGTCGCCGATTGCCGGGACAGACGAGAACGATGGGGAACGCATTGACAAAAGATTGTGAAGGGCGAAACGGGTGCGATCGCGACCGTTGCCAAGTTGCTGGGGTGAGAAAGAATGCAAAAGGGTATTTTGAAGAGGCTCAGCAGGGTCGCTTTGGGGGGCGTGCGGATCGACAGATGTCAGATGGGACCTCTATTTTGCCGGAGTGAGCAAAACTTTTTCTCTCAGAACCTCTGGGTAGGAGTTCATGAGATGGGCAAGAGATCGAAGATCTTCGGAATCCAGCAAGGTGATGGTGATTTTGGGCGCTCCCTTCACGCCGAAGCTCTTGACCTTTTTGTAGAGCTGTTCTCCAACTGCTTGCTTCTGATCTTGCGGCGGCTTGCTGCTCAAAGAATCGATGAACGCGTTGGTCGACTGGGAGACGGATGCGTCCGCCTTGGGCAACGGCAGCCCAGCTGATCCAGACGAGTTTGGCGATGTGGCCAGGCGGACGATCTCGATGGCAGGCAAGCGTGCTAGACTAGCCAAAGTGTGCGTTTGGGCAGATGCGGCCACCTCTGAAGAAGATACGCCGGCCTCGGAGACGGCTGCGAGTGCTGCAGGTGTAATTCTCGTCTTGCCGCCTCCAGTCGTAGCGCCAGCTGCACCAGATGCGATGGATCCAGCGGGACCCTCGTCCGAATCGGCCTCCGAAATGTCCAAAATCTCCTTGGCCTCCTCGACTTTTTGTTTCAAAAATTCAGGATTGAAAAGACACAAAGCTCGCTCCTTTTTGTTCAGGCTCACGAGCATGTCTGTGATGTCCTCGACTGGACTTCCACTGGGCACGGAGTTGGTGACCGCTCTCAGCAAGCGCTCTCGCTCCTTAGCCGATGCGGGCGCTGTCGAGACGAAGCTGGCGCCGTCCGTGCCGGCCAGGCTGCCAGAAGGGTTGATAGGCACACCCAATAGGCCGGAAGGTTGAGCAGGTCTTGACTGGACTGGTGAAGGGGGCAGCACGTCGCGCGCATCGCTGACGCGCTGGATCAGCTCGATGGGATTGTTCAGAGCTTCGACCTGCTCGGCAAGCTTGAGCTTCAGCAGTTCGAGAACGATGTCTTGGACCTGACTGGGTTTGACAGTGGGCAAGTCCTTGACTCTTCTTGTGAATTCTCCAGCCACCATCTCGTTGCGGACAGCAGGGCTCATAGCAGCCAGCTCGCCGTGATCCAAAATGGTTCCAGAGTTCTCCATGGCAGCTTTGAAGTAGCTGTTACTTTGCCTCTTGTTTGCGTTCCTGACAGCAGCCGTGTGCTCCACTTGAGGCGTACCGCTTGGACTGCCGTTCGTTTCCGAGGCTGCTCCACCCGCGCTGATAGGTGGGCTGTCCGCCGATGCGCCACCGAACTTGGCTGCCAATTTTTGCTCCCGCATCCGCTTGGGTTCATGCAGCCTGACGCTCATCTGCTTTGCGCCCATTTGGGTATTGTTCATTGCGTGTAACGCTCTACTCGCGTCGTCGGCGTTGGTGTAACTGACAAAGCCAAATTCCCTGCTTACCCCGCTATCGTCCCGCATGACCCTGGCAGAGACGATCTTGCCAAACGACTTGAAAGCGTTGAACAAGTCGTTGGAGTCGATTTCCGGGTCCAAATTCTTGCAGAAGAGGTTGCAAGGATCGATGTACGTAGCAGCTGAAGCGCTGTACTGCAAATTCGTGCCAGGAACGGGAATGATTGGCCCCACTTGCTGCTGGTTCAACTGAGGAGGGGCTGGCTGCGATGCGTAGATGGAAGAGCCAGAACCGTTGTTGGTCTGCCCTGGCGGCCTGAACGCCGGTGCTGACGCGTTGAAGCTGCCACCACCGCCGGGAACAAAGACTGCAGCGGAGGGACTGAATGCGTGCTGATTGGCCGCGCTGGGCCTGCGAGCGACATTGTCGATGGCGACGGAGATGGTCTTGCCTTGATAGTCTGTGCAGTGAAGCTCGTTCTGTGCAGCCTGCGCGTGCTCCTCCTCAAAGTACTCTACCAGGGCCATGCCTCTGAAGCCGGTGTGCTGACCAGCTGGATTTGTGAGGATGCGATTGGCTCTGACCAGAGGACCATAAGGTCGGAACAAGTCGTACACGTCCACATCTTCTGTGCCAGGTGGAAGCTGCTTGATGAGGCGTGGCTTGGATTTGCTGCCGCTGACAGGATCCTCTGCTTGCTCGCTAGTGCTGAGGTGCACTCCCCCCCGAATAGTCGCCAAAGCTTTCTCCGCTGCAAGGATGTGTGAAATGCGCATACATCAGCTGGTCTAGTGGAGGTTCAATATCCACATTGGTAGCAGGAGCGATTGCTCACCTGATGTCAGAGACTGAAACTCGACAGTGCCGCTGGCAGGCGTGCCTTGAGCTTCCGCGGTTTCGCGATCAAGACGCAAGCTGGTGTGGCGACGAGAAAGAGGCCGAGGGTCAGCTATTTTGGCGCGACACTGGGCGTGCAAGCTGGCGAGCCAGACTGACCGAACAGGGAGGTACTGTTCAAAGACGCTGCCAACGATGTCCTTGTCTGACAAGTTGGGATCCAGACCAGACACGAATAGCTTGGGCTGCTTGAGGTGCGGGTGTGGAGGAGGAGCAGGAAGCATGTCCTGGTCCTGATCTTGACTTGCAGCGCCGTCTGGAGAGTCGATGCTGGTGCCTGCTTGACTTGCAGCAGCTTCAGCTTCAGCTTGCTGGTCCGGACGGGGTGCGTAGATCGAGTCTGCCATCTTGCAACTCAAAGAAAAGAGGCTCGGAAGTAGCTGCTAGTGCCCCTGCGCTTCCCTACTTTGACTTGAGTCCACTGATAATGGTGCGAAGCGCGGTGTCGTGGTGGATGTGCAAGTAGAGTGGTGAAGGGTAGGTTGCGCACACAACATCATCGTCGATCATCTCGATTGCGAAGAAGGAAGCAGCATCAGCAGCGGTACGCGACTGAGCTCATCTCAAATCAAATTCGCCCCCACGCCACGGCCATGCTGCCTGCGAAGCGCTGACCGCTTGCCCGCGCAGCTGCATGATGGACACTCAAGACTAGAGTCCTAGAGTCCTTCAAACTTTTGACTTTGAACTCGTGATTCTTTCTTGACTTCAGCTACGCCTGCTCCAATAGTGAATCAAGAACAATGGCCAAAATCAAAATTCTCATCATTTTATCTCGAACCCCAAATCAAGAATCTTGAATAGTGAACTCAAATTCAATCGAAAGCTCAAGCCCTGGATTCATGATTTTAAATTTAAAATTTTTGACTTTTAACTTCCACAAAAGGACGTGAACCTCAGCCGACATTCAAATTTTCTAAGTGCATGTCGTCTGTACGCGCAATCACGCGTCTTTACGCGCCGGCCAGGACGTCCTCTTTCCAAGCAGCTAAAGCACGTGGACAGTCAAGATGAGTGGGGAGGGCACACGAGCAGACAGCGAAATGATGCAGTCAAGAGTCACAGTTGAGTCAAGAGTTGATGAGCGAGGCAAAGAGCAGCGGAGTAAGTGCTCATACGTTGACCGCGTATATGCTCGTATAGCCAGCAGCGATCAGTGACACTCAATGAAGACTCTAACTCACTCACGACCTACTCACACTCTGACTGGTGACTCTGACTTGCTCTTGACTCCTTCCACTCCTCAGACGCGAGACTGTGCGCGAGTGCGCGACCTCGGCTCACAGCCGGTGCTGCACGGTAAAAAGTGAGCTTTCAGCATGTTGGTCTCGCGACGCGCGAAAAATTCGTGATTATTCCTGGCTCACTCTCTTCTTGGTCAATTGAAACCTTTTTCTTTTCCTTCTCTTTCTCCTTCTGCATGTTGGCGTGCGTGAGCGCGACTGACACGTACGGTAAGCGTCACGCGCCAAAGTGATGACACGAATCTTCTCGACTTTACATTGTGCACGCAGGCAAAGGCTCCACATCATCACCACTCACACTCGGCCTCCGTGCTCCAACGGCGCAAATCCGCGCAAAATCACCAGCAACGCAAATCGTACGAGGAGGCAGCATGCCCCTCGCTTCTTCCTCTCACACACGCAGCCTCAACGCTCATCACGTCTGTACCATCAGCAGGCATCGCACAGTCACACTCACGGCTACTGCCAATCTGGAACCTGGAACCAGCCGGCTCGCAAGTTGTAGGCGCAGACGATAGCGTTGGAAGATGAGCAGGTGAACATCCTTGCACAGGAACAAACTTCGAAATCCGTGTCATCATTTCCCCACATTCGCATACACTCTGTGGACACAGCGATCTGATGGCAGATCAGCCTAATATTCCTCCATCATCATCATCATCAACCGCCGCCGCACCAGCAGCATCGCCGCGTCTCATCACCGACCCATCGGATCCTCGTCGGAAAGTGCCAATCAAGAAGGCCAATTCTCCATTCCTAGCGCATCAAGCAGAACAGGCGCGTCGAAGAGCGCAGGCGCAGGCAAAGATGGCCTCTAGCAAGACCTCATCTCCTCCAAGCAGGACTCAGAGAGCGCAAACGCGCAAGCAACGATCACTCTGCGCCAGCTTGATCAAATGGGCCCTCGTGGGTGTGCTCTTTGCACTCGGAGCGGGTCAATTCATCGCAGGCGATATTCTTTGGGGCTACAGGGGCAAATATGTTCAGAAACGGTTTTGGTTTCCTGTGAGTAGCCGGCTGCGTCTCGCAGTGGCGCGGTAGTCTTGTCGTGTCCATCACACCCTCAAGGCACTGGCGCGGTGGTGCATGACATGGCACTGACCGTGCGTGCATCCCGCTTTAGCCACCTCAAAGACTCTTCACGCCCGAAGAGCTGGCTCTTTACAATGGCTTGGATCCAAAGCGTCCCATCTATGTGAGTTGCTCATATCGCCGAGGAGGGTCCCGGCTAGGTGCTGACGTGCTGCCCTTGCCCTTGTCTGTCTCTCGAATTTGCAATTCTTGCAGCTCTCCATCATGGGCGTCGTGTACGACGTGACCGATGGTAGACGGATATACGGACCAGGAGGGCCTTATGACTTCTTCTCTGGCAGGGATGCTAGCAGAGCATACGTCACCGGTTGCTTCAAGCCCGAACAAGGTCACCTCACCCACGATTTGAGGGGTTTGGGAGTGGAAGAGCTGAAGGTGAGGAGGATGTCGAACGTGTAGCAAGCTCTGTTCAGCGCGCAGTAGGGCTGACGAGCGTCTTTTGCGCTTTGCGCTTCTGTTTCGGTCAGGGCGTCATGGACTGGGCAGTGAGTCTGTCCACTCATCACTGCGCGAGCTTATTCGTTCGACTGAAGGCTTGTCCCTTTCAATTCACATCACGTGCAGGCATTCTTTCAAGCTCATCCTACGTATCATCAGATTGGCAAGCTGAAATTGGAGCCGGTGGATCAAAGCAAACCTCCACCCGCGCCCTGCGCAGATGGAAAAGGGAAGGAGGATGTTTGAGGACAAGCCATGCCAGGGGCGACTGTGCCAGGAATGTAATGAATGACGCTGCGCAGCGCGGTCTGTGCTCGACTCGAGCCGGCTGGAAAGCTGATAACACCGGCGTGCGCGTTGGAGCAGCATGCAGCAGCGTTCAAACAAAGGACGCTGAAGAGACGCTACGACGGAGGCTCAAGGGGCCAGTCGGCGTTACCTATTTCGCACCTCGATGAGGTCTGGAATGTGAATTGATCGACGCGGTCATGAAGTGTCAGAACGAGTGAAAATCGTGCGACCGAGCGTACGTGCGTTCGGCGACTACACTAACAAGACGCCGCATGCTGGTCGAGCATTTGGGCAGTCTGCAAGTATAGGCGAGGGACGATGCGTATAGGCAAGCGCCAAAGGGGCACTTCACGCGGTCAGCTCCATGTCAACGCGGATTGGCGTTTGCATGGGCGGGCGATCGAGATGCTGCCCGCCCGGCGCCCACTGCTGTGCTTTATGCGATCAGCGATAAATTGCCGTCGCTTGACTCCACGATGGGGCCTCCTGAGACGTGTGGAGGGAATTGCAAATGACAACGCTTGACCCACATCTGCGAGTACCAAGCACCGCGTTCCTCGACTTTGTTGCTCGGCGACCCGTTCGACGGTGCCTTTTTGATGATAGGCACGAACATTGCGCGGTGCGAGCGAGCGAGAGGACATTTGCGCGAGTCTGGCTAGCGCGGAATGGGATGGGATGGGATGGGGCATCGTGTATATAGAGACGTGCCCGCTGCATAGTGCTGTAGATGGCCGGGCGTTTTAGCCGAGCGCGTGAGAGTCTGGCGGTCGCTCAAGCGTTTGACGCGGGAGGGGGGGGGGGGGGGCCTGTACCGCGGTGCAGTCACGGGTCTCAAGTGTAAGCATCGGCCATTCAAGATTGCGAGGGAGGCCCTTAGGCGTGCGCGCTGCGTTCCCCCGATCCGCAACATCACGATAGAAGCACGCTAAAGGACGAGCAGCAGGACGCACGCACGCACGCACGCAATTAATTGCGGCCACTACTCGGACGCGTGACTATATAGCGGCATGAATTCAATCTGAATCAAATGGCAGGAGAAATGTTGCGACCTCGTGGTGCTCATCTGCATAGCGTCTTTTTGGCCTCTAGCGCATCACAATCGCACACCAATCACAATCATGGCCAGGAGCAGGCATGGTGTTCATCTCCTTGCCTTTCCACGCGCCCACCACAATTCGACGCAGAAGACTGTCGGGTGAGCGCGCCGCCTGACCAGCAGGGCCAACTGGAATTACACGGCCGCTCCAGCATCTGCATTCGTGATTCTAATTCTGATCCTGATTCGCAATCCTTCATGTCTCCCCTGAGGCCGAGAAGGCCGAGTTGCGAGGCATCCCCGCTTTGTGATCGTCCGTGAAACTTGCCAGGGGCTTTACGGGCCGACAGCAGCAGCAGCAGCAGCAGCAGCAGCATCAGCACACCCAGTGTGGCTGCAGCTAGGTGCGTCAGGGCAAGACACGGAAAAGCAAAAAGTTGAAAAATGATTCACATTGATACAGCTCTGCAGTCTGAGCAAACGTTGGGCGAGAACGCTGCTGGGTATCGATCAGCTCACGACTCAGGACTCGTCGGAGCTTATTTGAACAGCGCGTGCCTGCTTCCGATCGAGCAGCGGTCGGGCAACTGCATGAGAGTCGAGAGGTGCCTGTGTGGGCTCGCGGCTGCTTTTGATTTGATGCGCGCATTCACATGCATGCAATGCAAGCCCGCGTTATTGCTCCGCTATGCTTCCGCCACAGCCGGTCCGGTCTGGCCTCCTCGCGGCCGACTCGATTTGTGCGACTGACTGCACAAGCGCGCCAAGAGGGCCAACGGCCATTCGGCTAGGCTCGCCATTGCGTGCATGTAACTTGCTCCAAAGTGCGAGGAGGCCCTTTTTGCCGCGGGAGGCTGGGAGGATGAGGAGCAGTAGTAGCGAGTCGCAGTCACGAGTGTCGATTGAATGTGAGTGTGCGAGTACGTCGGCGCACGCACGACGCTCATCATGATCACATTCTTGCCAATCCTGAGTGACGGCGCCCGGACCTCAGTTCGGACATGGGAGACGGGGCTTCTTTGGAAAGAAAAAAGTATCAAGTGTGTGGAAGAAAGCGCGGGGAGGAATGGTGAGTTTAAATCTAGACCTTCGTCTCCGACCGGGGTGCAGTGTGTGTGTGTGTGTGTGTGTGTGTGTGTGTGCATGCGAGCTGCAGCAGAACGCAGACCCTGCCCGAGCTCTGCAGCGTTTGAGAAGAGCAAGTCGACAGTCGGCTTGACCGTGCGTGCGTGCATCCAGTGGTGTGCAAAGACGTGAATGCACATGTGCACTCTACTGCAGTCGCCAGTCGAGGCGTGAGGGCCCCGTCATTCCGGAAGCTGCTGCGATGCTCGGCGGTGCCTCATGAATCGGCGGGGAGGGGTGACGCCGTGCCTTTGTTTTCATTTGCCGCTGCTTTGCCACGCGTGTCTCATCTACTCAACAGATGGCCCCGGCCATGGCCTACGTGCCTGGACTTTCTCATCAAGCGTCAAATGTCTCGACGCTAGAGCGACAGCGGCACGATGGCAAATTTTGATCGTGGCGTGGTGATAGCGTCCAGATCGTCCTCAAGCGGCTTCACCGAAGACTAGCGGGGGGAATGTGTTCTTAAGCCGAGCCCTAGGCGCCCTATGTTCTTGGAATTCCCCTTCATGAGTCTTTCCGTCACCCTGAAATACCACCCTTCCACCTCCCTCCCTCTCATTCATTCTCACCACCTTGTGTATCCGCAGCTTTTCAATTCTCCATTCCAAGCCACTGCGCCACCTGCTTCTCTCACATACAAAACGATTCAGATGAGTTCCGTGGCTGCTACTCACGCCAAGATGGCACCTGCGCCCAACACTGGAACTGCCACTGCGGCGCCCTCAGCCGTTGGCACCATCACTCTTGTTGGTGGTGCAAAGGGCGAGCAGTCTCCCGAAACCCTCGCCGCTCTCAATGGCGGTGCCGCACGTCTCGCAGGGATGCTGCCCGCTTTCAGGCCAGTGGACCAGCTATTCTTCACCCTCAAGCACGTGCTGCCCGTAATGATCTTGCAATACATCTCTCAGACTGCCGCTTCTTCTCAGCCCGCTTCCGGGGCGGACGAGGCCTCCCAATGGACCGTCAAGACCGTTGCTGCGGTCTACGCGGCCACCTACATCCTCCTTGGCCTCAACACCACAAAATTCTTGGCCGCCTTCTCCCACAAGTGGGGCTACCTCGACCGTGACGTTGAGCGGAACGGCAGGACAGCCGAGACGATCGGCTACTCTAGTCTATCCGTGAGTACAAAGTTCGCCCGGAGATGGAAATGCGAGGCGATCACGGCCAGCTGACATGAGCCTTGACGAATGGTACGGCACACAATCTACAGGCAACCTTTGTCATCTCATCCGTCGCGCGCATCGCGGCTGGAGCCTACTTCTACCGCAGCAGCATCGGTGCACCTTCTCTCAGCTTGTCCCTCCCCTTCAAGATGTCATTGTACGCCATCATCTTTGACTTCTTCTACTACGTCTACCATCGTCTTCAACACTCTTCTCTGATTCCTGGACTGCGAGCGCTCCACATGGCGGGCGAGCATCGCGCTACGGACAGCCACCCTACCCCAGGCATGGTCACGCTTCAATCCCGTCCCACCTCTCACTTGGACCCCATCCGAGCAGTGGGCCTTCACCTCGCTGCCATGTCCGTCTTCTCCTACTTGCCCATCACTTTTGGCTTCCACGAATGGTTCTACGTTACTTGCGCCATGCTCTACACCGAGCTGTACTGCCTTTCGGGAGCTCGCGTGCACAGCGAAGCCTGCACCACGGCGCTCCTCGTCAGGTGGACTGGCGACCGCACCCTGAACCCCATCAACCCTCTGCCCCGCCTCACCCAGTTCGACAAGAACAACGAGGACACCGACCAGCACTATCTCGCTGCCGTTTCCGACAAGAAGCTCAAGCTGGCCAACTTTGGTCAACAAAGTCGCGTTTGGGATGACATCTTTGGCACGGTGACGGATAGGTTGGAGTGCCGGGAGCTGAGCATCAATTGGTCCCTCAGTGCCAGCGACCGTGTTCCCCACTTCATGAAGAGCACTTGAGCGTCAACCATGAAGCGGCGGAGCAGATGTGCATCATCCTCTTCGCAGTCTTGAAAATGCTTGTGAAGAGTGTAGTTTGCTCCTCCTGGTCCGCCATCTCGCGAAACCTGCCCGATGTCTACTCGGAGTCGAGCAGCTCTACCTTGCAATCCTCGCCGGAAATCATACCCACCCCGTCCTTTGTCACCGATTCTGCACAATCTACGAGAACAATTCATCTGCTTCGGTCTCTCGTCGTGGGAATGATCTGCCTTGCGTGAATGCGTTGGGAAGGCGGATGTGGGCGTGTGATGGGTTAGCGGTTGCTGACTCGTAGAAAACGGTCTGGCGAGCCGCGACGTGTGAGTCTTGATTCCATTTAAGATTGCGATTTTGATTGCTTGCGTTGTCTGCGCACAGGAAAGTGCTCATCACGTGGATCTTGGATGAGGCACGCTTGATCGCAATTAAGGGCGGTAGTCGTGAGTGCATTTGGTCACCCGTGCAAGGGCGCACGAATGTGATGAGATGATCACACATTTCACCGTTCTCACCGTTCACCCAAGCCAAGCCAAGCCAAGCAAGATCCATACGCGTTGACGGCAAGCACGAGACGATGGCTGACTCCAAGTTGGCCACCACCACCACAAGCACCACGCACACCGATCCTTACTTCTCTTGCTTCGCAATGCAGCAATTGTCCGAGTAGTTAGGAGCCGACTCGGAGCCGCGGGCCGATGTCCACTCAGACTCTTGCTCGCCCGACGCCGACGCCGACGTCTACCAGTCTCCGCGGGCCGTGTTGGCGAGCGCTGCATGCTGGCGTTGCTCGCGTTGCTCGGGGCTGCAGTCGTGAGTGCGGCCATCGGCACTCTTTGCCGCGACTTGCTAACACCCTGAAGGCGGGCCCCTGCTTTACGCCGCGTACCCTCGCGCCGACCCGACACAAATCGCGATGGAGTGGGTCTCGGAATCAGAAAGGTCATGGCGAGCAGTCAAGCTCGACTTGTGTTGTCGAGAGGCGCCATGCATCCGTGGTGATGGCCGATGTGCGGCCTTTCGGCGTGCGCCACGACCATTTTAGGCGGGCTCGCTCCGAGCATTGCCGCATGGCGACCACTCGTTGCTCTCCGTCGCCCACCCACTGATGGCGCTCAGATAGAGGTTGCAAAATATATATAAGACCCTCGCATGAGTGCACCTCAAGACATGTTCGCCGATGATCGTTGGCTCACTCGAAAACCTTGTCCAAAGAATCGTCCAGCTCGCCCAGCTCGAGCAACTCATCAAAGTCGTTTTGATCGATTCAGCTCGCGACTTGCTACGATACTATGCCTGCCACTATCCGAACTCAGGCGGCCGATGATGGGAATGCGCGACTAGGCAAACAGCTGAGGGCCCCTCAGCACAATCCGCAGCGGTCTGAGCCCAATGCTTCGGCCCCACTACCGTACGCGATGATGGCAGACGGCATCGAGATCAAGGTGTGCCTCGACTCTCAGATCCACATCGGCTCCGCCGACTCGTCATTCGATTACCTATCCTACATCGCTCGATCCGTCATCCACGGTCTGCCTTCGAGCGCCTACTTGATCGTGACGGACAGAAATGTCGCCAAATTCCACCTGACCTCCCTCGAGGCTGCATTGCATGCCGTCATCGAGGCCAACGCACGCATCAGCTCCAAAGTCTCGACCTACATCATGCCGAGCGGAGAAGCGACAAAGACTCGGGAAACGAAAGCGGGGATGGAGGATTGGATGCTGGTCTCTGGACTCACTCGTGATACCGTCGTCATCGCCTTGGGTGGAGGGGTCGTGGGCGACTTGGTGGGCTTTGTAGCTGCGACATACATGAGGTCCGTCAGGCTCTGTCACGTTCCGACCACACTGCTCGCCATGGTCGACAGCTCGGTCGGTGGTAAAGTGGCCGTCGACACACCTCTGGGCAAGAACATGATCGGAGCATTTCATCCTGCGAAGCACATCTTTGTCTTTCCGCACTTCCTTGTCACTCTGCCAGCTCGCGAAGTAGCAAATGGCATGGCTGAGGTGATCAAGACGGCTGCGATCAGAGATTCCACCATGTTTCGCCTCATTGCCAGCTCGGCCGCTGACATTTGGCAAGCTTTCAAAGACGTCAAAGATGCAAGTGGAACGTGCATGTTGGAAAGTCGACTGCACTTCCTGCAGTCTTTCATTGCTTCTTCCATTGCGATCAAGTCTGACATTGTCAATGCGGACCCCAAAGAGCTGAATGGGACTCGCAATTTGGTCAACTTTGGACACACGATCGGTCATGCCATAGAGTCGCTGCTGGTGAGTATCCAGGGTGCGCCTTGGGTGATGGCTCATCACGAATGCTCAACGATCCACGGCATCTCCTCGACCCAAGCTGCCGGAAGCGCTGCACGGTGAAGCGATCGCGGTCGGAATGTGCCTGGAAGCACGCATCGCTGTGACAAAGGGTCACCTGACAATTTCTGAGCTACGGTCGCTACGAGATTGCCTGAAGGCATACGATTTGCCCACGAGCATGCTGGATTTTGCAAAGTGCGCGTCAGCACCCAACCTGACCGTCGACAAGCTGCTCGATCGAATGGCAATCGACAAGAAGAATGCCGGAATCGCAAAGAAGGTCGTCCTCCTCAGTTCTCTGGGCTCGACTGCGGAGAAGCAAGCTTCGATCGTCGAGGATGCTCACATCGCGGCGGTCATCGCTGCAGACAAGGAAGAGTCGTGACGAATGAGTGCATGGTAAGTTGTCGTGTCGGCGCCTTTTACGCGGGTCGGAGCGTTTGCTTGCTGGCACTCAGAGGTGAAGAGATGCAGGCGTAGAGGAAGGTCGAGCGCTGTGCAGCCACGTCGACACCCGACCACCACAACCTGCACGTAAACGCTCCGGAGCGGCCCTTTCGCACTGAAAATCGTGGGATCGCATTGCTATACGACTTGCGTGGATCTACATTCGTGCCAGAATCATGCTGTCGACTCGTTCACATCAAATACATGACTCGATGCGTGTGACGTGTCGCAGGAGCTGATTGAAGGCTTGTTAGCTGAGCGAAATTCGCGCAAGCAGCTCATCCGATGGTGCACTCACCACGCATACGCCGTGAAAGCTTCTGGTCTGATCCAATCCGCAAAAGGTGGCGTTCGCTCTGCCATTCTGCGCACCATTTTCGGGCCGATGAGAATGAGGAGATGAGGATGAGCGAAATGTGCTCAAACGAGCAAAATACGCTCAACGTTCGCTGATGGTCGCTCAGCTCAGCTCAGCTCTCAGCTCAGTCCCCTGTCGCTCTTGCCTCGAGCGGGAGAGGAGCGCGTCGTTCTGGACTCCTGCGCGAGTCGATGCATATGCATGCGACACACCTCTATATGTTCAGCCTTGGCGCAAACGCGTCGGGGGTGTTGCTGGCTGTTGCGATCGTGGAGGGGGCCGTGATGTCGTGCGACAGCGCACTTGTGTGCAGCTGTCAAGAGCCTCGGGGTTGGCTGCCGCGCGCATCGCATCGCATCGCATCGCATCACGCACATCTTCCCCAACTTGACGTCTGCTGCGCGGTACCGCGGCATCTTGTCGAGCGAACGCTTTCTTGACTGCAGATTAATTGCAGGAGCTGGATGACTGCCCAAGTGCCTTTGCTATACACTCTCAGACTGTAGTCGAGAGGGTATGATCAACACACGCCTAATCTGCACGCATGCAGCGTGCGGGCCCGACTGCTGGACTGCTCATGCTCATGCTCATGCTCATGCTCATGCTCATGCTCATGCTCATGCTCCTGCTCATGCTCATCGGACGGCGCGCGGTGAGCTGAACACATTTGAGTCATTTTTGCTCGTGCGAGCTGAGCTGAGCGATGACAGTCGTGACTCTCGCCATGCACTGCGCTGTGTGGCGCAAGCGCCGAGGCTCACACGACACTCTGTGACTGCGTGGCAAGGCGCTAGCTGCTGCTGTGTGAGCGTCAGAGGCTGAGCGAGCGGTATGCAGCGGCAGCGGCGGCGGCGGCGACCTGCTGTGCCTCTTATCGAGCGGCGAGTTCCCTTTTCCCGCCCCCTTGCGGTCCATATGCGCTGGACTAGGCGTGTGGGACCGAGGTGAGCACACAGCATACCGCCATTCCCTTGCGAGGCATGCAATGGGGGTGCACGGCCCCCCGGTCCGAAAAGCTATAAATGCAGGGGCATCATTCTCCATCCATCGAGTGCCTCTCCCTTCCTCCTTCACACCTCAGCCCTCACCACACATCGCTCTCGAAGCTGCTCATCGATTTCCTTTATCATCAACAACTCGCTACGCACCCACACTATACATCCCACAATGGCTTGCCCCTGCGCCGAACCAGACAACACCGCTGCTGCTTGCACCTGCGCAAAGGGAGACTGCAAGTGCAGCGCCAACGAGTGCAAGTGCCCTTCTTGGTGAGTGGGTGGGATCGAATCGACGCGGGCATGAGCTGCGAGTCTGTCTGTCTGCCATGCATGCATGCATGCATGCACTTGGCTATTCGCTTTGCTCACATCCCCCCATTCCCAACCGAACCCCCTTCTTGACGCTCCGTCACACGACAGCCCCAAGAAGGATCACGCCTGAATGGATCGCCTGCCTGCACTCGAACGCAACGGTTGCTTCATCAAGCGTGAGTGTAGCATTGCGGGGGTAATGCAGCCCCTTCAAGCTGTGCTCTGATCAACGCAGCGTACACACTCGCTCTCGTGCTGACAGTGCGAATCTCTCGATCGTGCCCACCCCAGAGGAAATGTGGACAGTCTAATTCAGAAATCGCGAAATGCACGGAGGAGCATTCGCGATTGCCGGGGAGGGGAGGGGAGGGCCCGGGCCGGGCCGCGTGTGGCAAGCAGTCAGTCGATCGATCCCTCTGATGTGATCGCGAATCAGAATGAAATCGTGTTTCATCGTGCTCCGTGTGCTGATTGTGATGGTTGGTGCATGCGTGGGAAGCGTCCAATGCTTATGCTTGCTTGCGAAATGGACTTTGACTTCGATGAATGCTAGCTAGCTAGCTAGCTGGCTTGTCCCTTGTGATCATTCACGATTCTGCTCTGCAACGGCGTTGTTGCGCAAAAGTCACCGCCACATTTGAGCACGTGACGAGCGAAGCTAAGGTTGGGATTTCGCCCCCGCGGCGTCGCGCGCCCGTTTTTGGAATTCGAGATTTTGGAGAGTCACGAGTGTGCTGCACGGCGCTCGACCCGTTCTTTCTCACCAGTGCAGTGCACCTCTCCTCATCTCATCATCAGAGCGAGACTGAAAGCTCACTCTGACTCCTCCTCGACGCCCTACCTTGCGCTTGCTGCTACTGCCGCCCAGCGCTCGTCTCACATCTTCAATCACAAGCACGAATCACGAGTTACAAGTCACCGACCGCACCTCGACACCGACGCGCAACATTACCCCCCCACGCATTTCGTGGAGCTCCTACGCCCTCCTTTGTTTCCAGACCTTTCGAAGCCCCTTCGTCCGAAAGTAAAGACAAAACCCGCTCGATCAGTCCCTTTTGCAGTCCTTGGCAACTCGACGAGCCGGATACAAATTTGCGCGAGTGGAAATTGCGCTCCCCCCCCCCTCCTCCTCCTCCTCCTGAGCGCAATATCGAGATCTGAAGATGTCGGCCTCTTCACCCATCCTGTACGAGGTCGGATTGGCCATCAAGAATATTGATCCGGATGGCAAAAAGTTTGACAGAGGTGAGTTGGGTAGCATGTACGTCCTGAGGGGGGAATGCGCGTCCGCCCCCGCCCAGCCGTTGTCCGCTAGGGTGGGGGGAGAAAAGGGACTTCTTCTTCTTCTTCTTCTTCAAGACGGTACTTCCATGATGCTGCACGAGGCCACGAGCTGCCAGCAAGGGCAGCCGCGACGCGCACCCATAGAACCTCGCTTGTTTGCTAATCTGCCTCACCTCTCCTCCTCCCCCTCCTCTCCTCTTCTCCACGCAGTTTCGCGCATAGTGTTGGAGTGTCCCACCGATAGCAGCATCAAAGTTCTCTTGGACGTCGCCGTCGACCTGTATCCTCTACAAATAGGTAGGAGCATCAATATGAAGCTGACGAACAGTCTGGATCGGGGCGCGGGAAGGATGGACGAGGTCAGTCTGGCGGAGAGGAACAAGGATGCTTGGAGGTTGAATGGGCCTAGTCTGGCCGATGAGGCGGACTACGTGATGCATGGCAAAGTGAGTAGATTGCGCGCTCTAGTGGATCAAGGCGGTCGGTCGATCGGTCGGTCGGTCCATCTCCGACGAAGCGAGCGATGAGCCGTGGGATGCTTGCGCGATAGGGAGCAAACGAGCGAACCGGGCAGACGAAAGAGGGAAGAAGTGAACGCTTGGTATCCAGACGTGCTGACGCGACCCTCTGCATTCGTACTCTTTCCTCGCATTTCAGATTTACAAGTACGACGAGACAGCAAGCACAATCGTCACAGCGTATGGGTCATTTGGTGGCCTATTGATGGCACTGACGGCCGAGGCCGATACGCTCAGCCGCTTGACTGTAGGCGGCAACGTGTTCCTCTTGCTCAAATAGAAAATGAACGCTTCCAAAGACATGCTTTTGGTGGTGAAGCGGGAATGTGCGATAAGGATGGAGATGAGTCGGGAGGCGCGAGACAAGTGCTTGGAGGGGAGGGCCCAGAGTGATTCCATCCAGCTTCATCGCTCCACATCCCATCTGCCAATCTCGACCCTGCAAATCTCCTCTAACGACTGCCTGTCCAAGCTCGAGCTGCTCGGAGCTGCAAAAGGTCTGAGATGACGCAGCGCCTGCCACTCCTCCAAGACGCGAGTACGGGTGGAAGCTCTCGAAGAGGGTGTGGACCTGGCCCTCGAGCTCGACCTTGAAGCTGGTCTGGAGCCGGACGCGTCATTGGATGCTTGGCTGTTGTTGCTTGATTCCGATTCCGAGGCAGTGTGAGAGCGTGAGCTTGCGCTGCTCGAGCGGGAGGCAGCATCCGAGTCGGAGTGTTCGCTCGCAGAGCTCGACGAGCTCTGCCCCTCGTCTTTGATGCCTTTTCCCTCGACGCTATGTAGTGAGGGCGCAGGCGCGGACCCAACTCCGGCGTCTGGGGATGCGCTCGCAAAGCCGGCCACGCACCCGCGACGAATGAGAAGCTGGCTCAGCATGTTCAGGTGGACAGACTGCAGAATGTGCACAGAGACCTGAGCTTGCACTGCGCCTACAATGTCGTCTAGGGACCAAGTATTCCACTGCGGTGCGGAGACGAACTCGACCCCTTTAGCATCCAGTGCCTCGGTCAGTATGCGCTGTGCGCTGAAACTCGTTTGGCGTAGCTTGTGAGAGAGCTTGGAGAGACGAGGCAAGAGGAGTTGCAAGTCTTGCACGTCCGAATGGAGATCCTCGAGCGCGGAAGCTATGCTGGAATGCTTGATCAGCGAAGATGGAGAGAGCTTGAGAGCGTCATCCAGAGAGCCAGAAGATGTGCATACAGCCGCAACGGCCTTTGCCAAGTCTTCTCGAACCACCATTTCCCAGGCTCTGAGCGTCCTGAGGTGTTCTCGGCACAGATCGCGCGCTCGTCTGTGCCACGTCGTCTCTTGAGAACGCGCTAGATGATCATCCTCTGAATGCGCGCCGGCTGGCTGTCTCCTGTTCGGCGTATGTGCGGACGCGCTCTCATCATCGTCTGAGAAGGGCGTGCCTGACCGACCGCGTGCGTTGGCGGCACCTGTCCCTGTCCCTGTCCCTGTCCCTGGCGAAGGCGAAGGCGAGGGCGAGGGCGAGGCAGAGAAGAGCCTGCTACCGCCGCTGATATTGCCCTTCTTGTTCTTCTTGGAGCTCATGCCGGCTAATGAAAGGGTCCAGTCGTACGTATAGAGTGGCAGTCACGAGGGCGCGTGTGTAGTCCTGATCAAGGCTCTTCTGCAACCTGCTGAAAAAGATTCGGTGGCAGCCATGCAGGTGACAGCAGAAGGGAGAGGTTGATCTCGTCGCGACGCACGCATCTCACAGTCACGCGGCAGTCGTGAGTCTCTATAGTCATAGTCACCATGCAGTCCCTGCTCCGTAAATTTTGCTCCACTCAAGACTCGGATCGGACTCTCGAACCAGCGAATGCATCGGGCGCGCGCGCGCGCACGTTCCGCTCCCAGACGGAGCTCAGCGCGCACCCACGAGGCATCATCTTTATCACCATCATCCCTCCATTCCGTACGTATTGCATCGGCTCCAGCAGCGGCAACCCTTGACGACAAAAAAAGCTAGCGCAAGAGCTCGAGAAACTGCTCGAGAAGCTGCATACGATGGCAGGTCCAAGCGACACGCAATGTCTGAGGGTACGTCTGTGACTTTCGCAGCCCGCCCCCCTCGTCTCGCGCGCGCCTCTCATCCCCCACTTCCCGTGACTCTCTCGTTGCTGCAGGCGCAGATTGCGGATGTCAGGACTCTGGCAGCTCTGCTCAGACCCATCGCATTCTCGACTGTGAGTGCTGGATCGCAGCGCAAGGTACAGCATCATATCTCGGCCTTCTGACCTTGCCTTCGTTGTGCCCCAGTTCGCGACCGTCTCGCTGTCCGAGTCCGGCTTGACATTCACCACGGAGCAGGATCGTTCTCTGCAAGGTAAATAGCGCATGCTAGCGAACATAACTCGGCGCATACATGTGCTCGCGCCTTTGCCAAGGACCGACGCACTGATCAGTCGACCGCGTATGCTCCACACAGCCAACGCATACGTTCCATCCTCTCTCTTTAGCCCATTTCACTTTCGCGTCGTTCGATCCCCCACTCGCAAACGCAAGCGTCAAGTCGAACGATCATCGCAGCCATCATCCGCTACTCTGGAAGAGGGCTCGTCAGTGCAAGGCTCGGAGCTGCGCGAGCCCGAGCCTCTGAGTCCAGCAGCTCTTGAGCGAGCCGAAAGAGAAGCTTCTGAGCGAGTCAGAGGAGCACATCATTCTCCAGACCAGCAGGAAGAGAGTGGAGACGAGCAAGATGAAGAGGAGAGCTCATCCAGGCAGACGATCGACTTTGACATTTCCCTTGCTAACTTCTTGCAGTGTCTGAACATTTTTGGCGGAGCGCCTGCTCTCAATAAGAGTTCGCACTCCGATCAAGGTGCTGGAAGTACGAGTCGAGAAAGAGACAAGGAGGCAACTGATGGGCGAGGGGATGTTCAGCAGAGATACTCACGATCCGGCCTTGGAGCAAGGAAATCAAAGGACGGGAAGGGGAGCGATGCAGGCGTCACTAGCGCTGCTCTAACGTTCGATGCGCTCTCCAAGAGATTGGTGTTGATGTGAGTCCTGGCTTCCGAACACGCTTCGTTGCGTGCCAGCTGCTGACGTTGCACTTCTTGCCCGCCAAGCCTGGACGACGACGGCGGGGCTACGACCAAGTGCGAGCTGGCGAGCTACGAGCCACAAGGAATCACCGACCTAGCATTTGATCCAGACTATCTGGTCGCGCAAGCGATCATGCGCGTGAGTGAAGCTTCGTGCCGACACCTGGATGTGTTGATTGCGTTGACGAGCGCAGACATGCTCTCAGTCCGAGCTCTTGGCAGACGCAATGTCATCTGTGGACCCATCGGCGTCCTTTGTAGGTCTGCGCTTCTCACCGCGCTACAGATCTACCGCTTCCGACGCTGCACAAGGATTCAGAACTGCCACTTCCGTATCGGCGGGCTTGAGGCCTAGCTTGAGCAGCTCGGTGGTGCTCAGCTCCGACGATGCAGTTGCCAAGCGTCCAGGCGTGACTCCGAATCCCACCATCCAAGTGCTCAAGCTCACAGCTGATAGCGATACCGGCACAGTAGAGGCGAGTGCCAGCGTGCTCAGAGAATCTTGACAGGGCTTAGCTCACATTCACCAGGGGGGCGCAAAATTCTGGCAGATGGAATTGCCCAACGAGAGAGGCGTAATGGAGAGGTTTGTGTGCAATTACGATTTGGAGCAGAGGTGAGCGAACAGCGTTTGCAGCGATACGCGTCGCGGATGGATGTTTCCTACCAGACCAGCCTGACGTGATATTACATGCCCTTTTGCGCTGCACCAAGGTACAACTACAAGCACATGTCCACGACGACACGAGCGCTGCAGACGTCCATCAAGACCTCCTTGCGCATCGATGAGCGCGGTCTGCTTAGCATGCAGTGTCTCATGCCTCGCGGACTAGGACGGACCGTGAATGACGGAGAGGCCGCGCCAGGTCGAAGAAACGACGGCGCAGCGCTTCTCAACAATCACGGCTTCATCGAATTCACAGTGAGGCAGGAGCGCCAAGGCGAGCAAGATCAAGTTCGATCGGAGGCTTTACTGACGCTTACTCTCTTCCGAACAGGTGCTCCCTCTGGACGAGGAAAGCCTCAAATAGATGCTTGGGGTAAATGTCAAGGAGCCTAGCATATCCTCGCTTTTGTTCAACACACACACACACACACACACACACACACACACACACACACACACAACATCTGTCCGCTTTTCGGGTGGCCTCGCGCTTGGCACGAAAGGCGCTTGACCTTTCTCGCACTGATCGAGGCGCAAAGTCAGCGCAACCCACTCTGTAATTCGCAGTCGGCATTGCAGGTGGCTCTACACACCGAGGCGTTGCATATTCTGCGTGCCTTCACTCGTGATGCGGTAGATGCGAGTGAGAGAGAGAGAAAGGGGGGAAGGAATTCAAATCAAGGAAGCAGCCAAGAGGGCTCTAGTCGCCACCTCCTCCTGATCCAATTCGTCCACTTCCTCATTCTCCTCGACGTCCGAGATGAGCATGTCGACATCCTGTTCTCGAGAATCGCCCGTGGTCGCTTGAATCGAAGAGCTTGCGCCGAGCGCCGAGCGCTTTGTGCTGTCTGCGCCCGCGATCATCTGATCCGCTCCCTCCACGAGGGGCGAAGGCCGAATCCCCACCCCGCTCGGTGCTTGCGCTCCTCCTTGAGCATGGATCTCGACGCCAGCGCCTTGCATTTGCCCCTCGAGCCGCGTTGGTTGATCGATGAGTCCAGGCAGCTCTGGCGCTTCTTTCGGTGAGGCTTGGGTGATGGGCGCGATCGCCTCCTTTGTTGCATCGGACGACGAAGCTCCGCCAAGCAGCGCGCCAACGACGGGCTGATTTTGAGCAGCGAGGGGCGCACCAAGGACATTCGTGCTGCTCCACGGGACGTTGGAGATGGAGCCCTTGCCTTGCGGCTCCTCTGCAATAACACCCGTATTGAGCTGCGAAGCAGCCATCGCTGCAGGTCTCTTGGAGGATGCCCTTTGCCTCGTTGTGGACTGAGACTTTTGTCCATCTGCGGTGTGACCCGACCTTGGCGGATTAGGTGCGCTGGATGAAGGAGGAGCAACTTGCACTGCAGGACTATTCGATGCGGTCCTATGAGCTGGGGGACGTCTGATACGCTGAGGTCTTCCATTTCGACCTATGGGCGCATCGACGATCGCAGGCACAGAGTCCCCTTGATCCGCCAAGAGACCAGCCAGCTCGCCATCCAAAAGGTCTTCAGCGCCGGCGTTGGAAAGAGCAGCAGCAGTTGGATCGGCGCCTGCAAGAGATGTCTGACGCTGCAACTCATCTTGCTGTTGCTGCCGCTGCTGCTGCTGCTGCTCTTCGTCATCTCCCATCGCATTTTCGCTCGATCCCGCTTGAGACTTTCTAGCTTTTTTAGGACCAGCCAGCATGCTCAGCAGGTCTTTTCGTTCCTCTCTCTCCTTGGCCAACCTCTTCATCTCCAGCTCAGCTCTCTTCTTGGCCCTCTTCTCCTCCGCCACATGCTCTCTCCACCTCTGCGCATCCGATCTGATCTCGTCGTCGGTGAGCGCGGCTTGAGCCAGGAGCAACCTGACCTGATCCTGGCTACGTTTCAATCTGCCCTCCAAATCAAGTCTTTGAGATCGTGCTGCCGTTCTGAAAGCGTCCAGCCCGTCAGCCAATTGGCTTTCCAGTTGACGCACCCTGTTCTCAGCGTGTCGCAAGTCGTTTGCAGACTCTGCGGCAGCCTCGGAAGCTCGATCGTACAGTGTACGAATGAAAGCAACCTCTTCCCTCGCTTCTTGCCGCTGCTGCTCCGCAGATTCGAGCTGATGGCTCATCTTGCCGTGATGATTTTTGGCAGATTGCAGACTAGCGTAGAGATTCTCGTTTTGCGTTTGAAGGTCGAGCCAAGCTGGAGTGGATTTGACGTCGTCGATTGACAAGCTCTGACTCGTCGGCTGACGATTAGCAAGGCTTGCACTGCCGAAGCTCTCGATATCCGTACCTGCGCCTGCACAAGCTACCGGTGCAGGGAATCCTCGCACGACGAACAGATGACCGTTCTTGTCGAGCCAAGGATCGTAATCCGGATCGGAATAGACCTGCCTGACGCTCTCTTCGTCCAACGTCGACAGCTCGTAGTCCAGTCCGGGCTGATCAGCTTGCATCTCTTGCTGCTGCTGATCGGTTAAGAGAGCCAAGACGAGGTAGGGTGTTCTGGCATCTCCGCGTTCCAGTTCGAACAGCCACTCCTTCTTGGTCGGCAAGAAACCAGCCTCTTCTTGCGTTTCCGACAGGGACTGATGTGTCGCAGCACGACCTTGTGTGGAGACGCTCGCCTGCGCTTCGGACTGATCGTGTCTGAGCAAAAAGTGCTGCACTTCTCGTTTCAAAAATGCAGGCACATAGGGACTTTGCTCGACGAGACGAATAATGCTTCGTCGTGCTTCTGGTGTGTGCGGATCTCTGAGGAGTTCCTCCTTGCTCATATGCGACTCGCCACGCACCCCATCGGCCACGCCATCGGCCTCGCGAGGCGTCGAAGCGACAGGCGGATGGGACGGCAGAGGAGCAGAAGGAGGGGGAACAGAGTCTCGAGCAGCTTCAGCTCCGGGGTTTTGAGCGCCAGACGACTGTGCAGCTTGCTCTTCCTCAAGCTCTTCGAACATGCCTTCGGCTTCTCCCAGAGGTACCGAGGAACGCTTCGATCGAGACCGCCCGCGTCTTCGCAAGCGCCTGCTCGAAGCAGATCGACTTTTTGTTTGCAGGCGTGCCGACATCTCCGCATCTTCGTTCTCCGCCTCCTCCACGGGCGGACAGTGGCTCTCTTCGCGCGTCGCAGGCTGGCGCAATCCAGCACGTCGAGCAGCTTCGACCTTCTGCATCGCATCTTCGTCCGTAGCGTTCAAGTCCAAAGCGCCAGCCAGCTCAGCAGCTCGCCTCTCCTCCTGAGTCTGCGCATTGGGATCAGCCACAGGAATGATGAGGTCCCCAATTCTGACCATCTTTGCCTCTGCTCCGGATTCGCCAAAAGGGCTGGCAGAGTTGCCGCTGCTCTGCTGACCAGTGCTCGTCGAAGCCTCGCGCTTTTCTCCTGCACGCTTCACCAACGTCGCACGAGCCTGTGCGGCATGTCGAGGTTCATGTTGCCAAAGTTCGCCTTCCGCAAGGGCCTGAGCTCGAAGGTGCGTTTGAAAGACTTCGGGACCGAGACGAGGCAAGGGACCGAACCCAACTCTCGCTTCCGACGCGGCGGATCGCACGTTCGGGTCAGGAAGAGCAGCAATTCTGGCAGCTGCAGCAGGCGAGAAGCTGTTCGACGGCGTCGGCACCGATTGTGTCTGGGACACAAACGCGCTGGGCATGGATTGTCGCGTCACTGGACCAGAGGGCTGAGAAGCGTTCACCTCCATGGTGGTGGACGAGGGTTGCAAAGGACGAGGTCTGCTTGGCTCGCTCTTTCGTTCAATCACCACTTCGGGATCTTCACCCATAGAGTAATGCAGCACGGATCCGGCCTTTGTTAGATTGTCGTCCCTCGCTCTCTGTTGGCTCGCGTCGTCATCTAACTCCATTGGCTTCTCGGATGCTTCGAGCGTTCCATCCGAGTTGACCGGCTGAGTGAGCAGCATCCGCGCTCAGAAAGTGAGTTGGTGGGCAGACCTACAAGCACCTGCTTCAGCAAACTCACCAATCGCTCGTCAGCCTCCACTCTACGGCGCTTCTTTTGGCGAGAAGAAGTGTTGCGTTGGCTGGCATCTTCGGCCTCGAGGCCTCGTTCCGCCGTCTCATTCGCATCCTCCTCATTCGGCCTCTTGCCATTTGCAAGCTGCTGCGCTTTCTTCGAAGCGCGCTTCTGCCTTTCGGCATCCCTGTCCTCCCTCCCTTTTCGCCAGTGCAGTACCAACACATCAGGCACTCGATCCTTTTCGATCCACCTGCTGAGCTCTCCGGGCACCTTGGCCCTGATTTTGTACCTGCCATCTTTGGAAGCTACGATGACCAGGCCAAATTCGGCGGTGGCCCACAAAGCGGCGGCACCGGGCGGAGCGGGACGTGTACCGCCGTTGATGTGCGCTTGGAGGAACGCGTCGACGTCGTCGAGACCCGAAGCGACCGATTCTGCTCGCCAAGGATCTACTTTGACATCCTCGTCTTTCTTCTCATCCAAAGTTCTCGGAGGCGAAGGCGACACGGCTGGACTGATAGCGAAGCGACCGGATTGGGCGTGGTGTGCAAGCTGCTGGCTTGTCGTTGCACCGTCGGCAGGATGAGCAGGAGCTGTTGACATGCCATCCACTTGATTGGCTTCCTCTCTCAACGCGTCCTCCTGTCTCTGTATCCTCTCCTCTTCGGCCTCCGCCCAAGCAGCTTTGCGCTCTTGCTCGCGAATCTGCTCGCGAATCGGCCGCTCTGAATTTGCCTCGTGCTCCAAGCGTCGCGCAGTTTTGAGCTTTCGCTTCTCCTCTCTTTGTTCCTCCTCCCTTCTCAATCGCGCTCTCTTCTTCTCCGCCTTGCCGACTTTCTGCATGAATGTTCTGCGTCTTGCTCTTGCGCGAATAAGCTCCACCTGCTCCGATTCCTCCAGTAGCTCGCTCGATGCCATCAATCGCTTCTCTTTGCGGTAGGCGAGGAACAATTTCTTTTGGATTGTCATCCATCCCGTCATGTCTTGCTCCTCATCGGATAGACGTGCATTCTCAGGCAAGCACGCCAGTACCCTGCTCGCTTCCTCCTCCTCATCATCATCATCTTCATCGCCTTGTGTGGAAGTTGCGACGGCGAGCCTATCGTCTTGCCCCTCATCCTCGCTCGTAGCCGGACTGGCATCGGGCTCTTTTAAGCTGATGCTCTTTCTCGCCCTCATGCTGTACCTCGAAGTGGCCAAAGTGCTGGCTGCTTCTGCATCGCCTCTAGAGCGCGTACGCGTGCTATCGCTAGGTCCAGCAATCTGCTGCTGCTGCTGCTGCTGCTCCGCGTCTCTCTCCGTAGATGTGCGATGAGGCACATACTCTTCCTCTGTCCACTTGCTATCGAAATAGTTGGGATCTGATCGACGGGGCGGCATGATTCCGGGGGGTTTCGCGATGCAGAGCCAGCTTCTTGGTAAGCTTCCGTGCAGCTGATCATCCAGATTTACAAGATCATTGTCTACGCATCGCTCCACTCAGACTCCAGATTGTGATTCTTGTTGCCTCTGTTGTTGTGACTATTCGTGGACTCACGATTCCCGATCGTGATTGTTGTGATTGTGCGAGTTCGCGAGTGGGCACGCCGTCGTGTAGCGCGGGCGGTCTCGTCATTTCTGATGAATTTCCGCGCATCACGTGCAGTCACGGGGCAAGGGTTTTCGGCGAAGGCGCCACACGTGACCGGTATCTAAGGTCAGTGGCATGGCCTGGCATGCCATGCATGCATGCAGGAACGAGATGTCGATCGATGATTGCGTACGCGGAGGGGTGATGATCGAGGCGAGCACAGGCTGGGCAGTCACGAGTCACTCTGACTCGCGACTAGAATCGTAAGAGCTGTTGTGAGTGTGAGTCTTGAGTGTGGAGCCTGCAAGTCTGTGACATGAGTGTGAGTGTCTGATGGATGATCGACGGACGGACATGAGCCAGCCAGCCATCTCCCACATCCGCGCGCATCATCCATCCACTCACGACTCACCATTGCCGAGAACCTTCGCGCTCAACACCCCCAAGCAAGCACCGTCCAATTACGTGGCACATCCGCGTGATCCGGCCCCCACTCCAACGACTTGTTCCAACTCTTTTGACTTGATACAGGACAGTCGCATGCAGCAAGCCCCCCGATCGCTGGCTCGCTTGCTCACAGCGTCCACAAGCACGCTTGCACGATCGCCCAGCATCATCATCAGCATCGGCATCGGCAGTGGCCACGATGGGTGCGCAAAATTCAAAGCCGGGAGTAAAGGTGACCCCGCAAGATCGGGCCATCCTCGAGTGAGTGGAGTATGGGATCGGTGGGGGGAGAGGCGCATGTAGCGGCCACGAGGAGGAACGAGTGGGAGGTAACGGCCTTTGTATGTTTGGCGTGGCATGCTGAGATCATTGTTGATTTGCTTGTATGCGGGTATGTTCGGCTTTCGACAGTCTCAAATTGCAAAGAGATAAGGTCAAGCAGTATCAAAAGAAGGTGAGCCACGCACGCCAAGGGGCGGCAAGAGCGGGTCATTTCATGGGAGACGCTGACTCTGCTCGCTCCTCATCCTTCCTACTGTCTCCTTCCCCTCCCCTCCCAAACGTCGATCGTGCTCAGCTGCAATCCGTGCTGGATCTGGAGAGCAGGTTGGCCAAACAGGCCTTGCAAAAGGGAGACAAGGAGAGGGCACGAACCGCTTTGAGGCGGCGCAAATGGCAGCAAGGCATGATCGAAAAGACGGATGGGCAATTGGAAACGCTTCAGGGATTGGTGAGTGGACAATCTCCATCCCCCCTCTGCATGCCCCCCTTCCGTCTCTCTACGTAAAGAGGCATGTTCGCTTCCTTCTTGCTCGTCGCCCTTCCTGACTCGCTCTCGTCGCCCGCCACTGGTAGGTATCGTCGATTGAATTCTCGCAAATACAAGCGTCGGTCATGCATGGCTTGCAACAAGGCAATGCGGTGCTCAAGGAAATTCATAAAGAGCTCAACATCGATTCGGTGGAAAGGTTGATGGGGGAGACGCAAGAGGCCGTCGCATATCAAAAGGTGCGTGGGCCTGCGACGATCAGTGTCGTCCCGACTTGTTTCCGGCGCATTTGACCGTGACCGTAGAACAAAAGCTGATCCGATGGGCGAATTGGGGGGGGGGGGGGGGCATGTCTGGCTTCTTCTTGATGTGCTTTTCAGGCGATTGACGAAATGTTGACGAGCCGCATGACGGCAGAGGAGGAAGAGGCTGTGGCGAGGGAGATGGAAGCGCTAGAAGCTGAAGCTAGAGCAGAGGATCTTCGAAGCTTGCCCGATGCTTCAAAGGAGGCACAGGAGCATGTCGAATTGCCAAATGTGCCCACTGTGGAGCCTGTACACTCTGGAGGGCAGAGGCAGGATGCTGGAGCAGAGGCGGAGGCGGAAGAGTCGGAGGAGAGGGTACCGGTGCTTGCTTGAGTAAGAAGGCAACGTCGAGCAAAGATCGCCACGAGCAAAAGACTCGAGACTCTTGCGGAACGCGGGCACGAGCTCTTTCTCCCCCTACACACCGAGCTTTTCGGTACATCTACCACGAGCAAGCCAGATCCGGTCTGATGAATCTTCAAGAGACTCTCTCCGCGCCCTGCTTCAGCGCGCATCACGATCCGACGCACCCAGCCCTCGAGGAATTCTTCTCGCACTTCCTCCACGTACACGTCCCTCTCCCTCTCTCTCTCTCTCTCTCTCTCTCTCTCTCTCTCTCTCTCTCTCTCTCTCTCTCTCTCCCCTTTGAAGCTCGCGGCGTCTCAAGCTGCTCCTCTCCGCATGAACGCGCAACACCCTGTACTTGTATCCGCAACGCAAGAGCTACCTACCTCGTCCCTGAAACACTCGTCTGCAAGTTCGTGCAACGACTTCGTGTTCACACACTTGGAGGGAGCTGCTCGGATTGGATGCTCAGCTTGGACGTCAGGGCGGAGCAATCCTGCGCTGCTTTCCAAGCATGGTTAGGGTTTAGCATCCTCCAGCTTGTTGAGGTACGCCTGCTGATTGCGCATGCGCACAGAGATGACCTTGCTCCAAGTCTTGTGTTGCTTGATGGCATTGGCGATGAGCTTGTCAATGCGGAGCTCTGCTGACTGAGCCTCTGCTGCCGCCTTTAGCCTTGGAGCATTGCCAGTGAACTGTGGAGCCAGGTGCTGCAGCAGGCATCCCTTTAAGCAGCAAAGGTAGATCAGGTCCAGGAGGGTGCTCTGCCGCACGGGTGAGCCCTTGTACTTTAGAGCGCCAGGATCTGGCAAGATCACCGCCACCGCATCAAGACTGCTAACAACGGAGATGGTGCCTGCATTGGCAATCATGTTGAAGCGCACGCTTGCAGATTTCAAGACTGTAGTGGCCACTTCTGCCAACAACATCACCAGCACCATGGGGTAAGTGATGCCGCATCTGCAACAAAGCCAGATGAGTCCACACAGGATCCAAAGAAGGCCAATCAAGAAGATTAGCCATTCTTTGTGCTTGTCTAGGGTGTGGGCAAAGAGGTCCAGAAAGGGACCAAGCTCAAGTCCAGCTTCCTTTGCTATCCAGCGCCACAGCTCAGGTCCGCTGTTGGCAATGCTCCCAAAGAAGGTGGTCTGACCCAGCACATCCCCCATCATGACATCCCTGCTGATGCATACCACTGGTGCGATGCTGTTGGCCATCAGCTTGTCCACCCTCCGGACAGCATTCTCTGCAGCCTGCTTCAGAGCGCAAACTTGAAGAATAGTCTTGTGGCGGGCCTTTGGGAGGTGACCATTCCACCAGTGCCTTGCAGGCTGACAGAGAGGCAAGAGATGTCAATGGTGACATGGGCAAATGCGGCAAGAAGAGAGTTGATGGTGACGCTTGCAGGAGGAGAGTTGATGATGACGCAGAGGATGTCAACGGTGACGCTTGTGTTAAGGACAGTGAGGGTGAGACAGGGGACACAGAGAAGGATGTTGATGTTTGTGAGAGGGAAGTTGACAGTGAGATGGGCGTGAATGGTGACGTTGGAAAGTGAGAGAGAGAGAGTGACACTGAGGAAGTTGACAGGGAGAGGATGGCAATGGCAAGACTACTGATGTGCTGATCAACAAGCTTCTTTTGAACCACAACAACAGGCAAGCGCACAAGCTGATCCATGCCACCATACCTTGCCAAGTTGAATGACCTCAATGGTGGGCCAAGGTTGATGAGCACTTGCTCTACAATGCCAATGGCAGGCACTAGCTCCAGGAAGGCATCACCATCAGGGGCTTGCAGCGCAGCTGTCTGTAGCGCAGCAACTTGACCCTTGCCTTCTACAGCCTTTGCTATGAAGGTGCTCCTTGCAAGGTTCTTGACAAGAGCATTGATGTGCTTTGCACTGTGGGTCTTGCTTGCCTTGTGGAGGAACCAGAGCAAGTCTTTGTTGTGCAATGCCTTGCATTTGTCACTGGGTGTGTCCAACACTTGCTCTCCAACAGCCTCTTGCAGAGCAAAGTTGATGGCAAGCATGGGCCGACTGAACACTTCAAATTGCTCATCCTTGACTTCCAGTGTTGACAAAACTTAAGCATCAGTGTGCTCTTTTCAGCCCTTGCATCTGCTGCATCTGCTGCAGCCCTCTCTTCTGGAGTGACCCTGCTGGTGTAACAAAAGAAGTTGTTGGTGCAACCAACAGCAGCTTCCTCTTCCTTGTCAATGAATGGCGCAAGCGTGCTTTGCGGGAAGCGTACAGCAAATTGAGCACATGCCTTGTCATCTGGCAAGATCTTTTGTGCATGCCAAAAGAATCGTGTTTTGCCGTCTGTGATTGGCAGCAAAACATCCTGTAATGTGGCCAAGTCCAGCCTGGGCAAGAATTTGCCACCGTCAATTGCAATCAAAAGATCCTTGCTGGGCTCAAGACGGTCTTGCCAAAGATCTGCGCACATCAGCCTGATGCCCTGCAAAGACAATTGAGCATTGATGGCATCCTGCAAAGAGAGGGATCCATCTTGCAGTCCTTCTTGCTGGTCTGTCCAGAGGGCATGCAGACCTGGAGCAGTTGCACATTGCTCAAGCCAGTAGCGTGAGTATCCTTGGTAGCTGCAAGCTTGGCATCAACTGTCTCCACCCTCTTCTGCTTCCATTTGCGCTTCTCCTCCTCTGTGAGATCCTTTTGAAGGCAGACAGGACCATCACTTCTCTTGCTGGTGCGCAGCTTCAACAGCGGTGAGGTGCGGTGGGCAATGGGACGTACGTCTGTCACAAATTGAAAAAGGACAATTGGAGCGTCATCCCATCACCGCGCCCCCCCGCAATTTTTCGAAAAGAAATGTGGGGGGGGGGGGGGGGAAAGGGGAGGGGGATCCAAGGGCTGGCCAGTGGCCAGAGCGGGATTTCCTGATACACGATCTTGGGAGATTGGGCATTGCGCACGCTCCATCATGAAAGATGAGGGAGTGCTCGATGCTTGTGCGGACCGCAGCTGAGCAAATAGGTGCTGCTGCCAGCTTTGCGAGAGGCGGGAAGCACAATTGCCAGGCTTAGAGCAAATGTAAGCGAGACAACGTTGGGGGGTCCATAAGCTGTCAGTTCATTATGGGAATATTAATGAGGTAACAGGCTAGTGGGTAGAACAAGACTCTCAAAAGCCTGCATCAATGTGGTGCGCTGGTGTTGTGCACATGCTTGGCCAATAAGAGTGGAGCAAGTTGAAGATGATGGACATCTCCCTGTATTCAGCTCTTCATCATTGCTACATGCTACAGTGAAGAGGCTTGACAACATCAGCATTGAAGTTAGACAGAACATATGTCAGTTCATCTAAATTTTGCTGGTCAGCACAACTGACATCATGACAGATTATGCCTAGCATATGGTGGATTGGAGATGTGCTCCCCCAGGGCAATGCCAATGATGCGCTGTAACCTTGCTTTGTTGCAGCAGCACAGATGGAATGGATGTCTGCCATTGCAGCTTCAAGCATCTTCTTGTAGTTGGCAATGAATGGCTTTCTGAAATCTTGAAGCTCTTCCACAACAGCCCTCTCTGCCCTTGCTAGCTCCAGTCTCTCCTTACCCACATACTCTTTTGCCAAACAGAATCTTGCAGAAATCTTGTTGGCCATCTTATGAATCTGAGCCAGCAAGTTGAGATCATCTGAGGGCAAGACCCCCCATCCTCTCCAGATTTGCTAGACAAAACCAGGAGCCAATTTTGTTGAGGACACCCTTTGCATGGTTTGGGTGTTGTGCGCAAAGTTGACCTTTTTCTTCACCTTGGGGCCAGTCCCTCAATCTTTACCCAGACAGCAGAGGCCTGCTCCAGTGCGCACATGATTATGATTGTGTCCCAAAATAGGATGACAAACCCTGGCATGATCCAAAGCAACAAAGGCACAGTGAGTGATCCTGTCATGACAGATCCTATCATGGCGGTGTATGCATTGAGCCCCAGATGCAAGGCAATGCTAGGTCAGCACCTTCATCAAGGACTTGCCCACCCTTGACCATAGGAAGTCTGAAGTTGGAGAGGAGGGATATCCATCTCATGCTGCTGCTGCACTCCCGCTGCTGCACAGCCTCTTTGAATGCTCATTGGCACTGAGGCCAAAGGCAGCATGCGAGGCAGCACTTGTCATTGCCAAGCAGCAAAAGCTATCGGATCATGTCCTTCACTTGCTCCGCACAGAAGACTGGGTCAGGACCTCTCAATCCAGCACCACGCCACCTTTGCCACAAAGTGAAGGACCAAGACGACAAGCTTGAGAAGCTCCGTCAGCAGATTGCAAGCCTAGAGGCTAAGCTTGCAGCTCAGCCAAAGGTCTGCGTTTGTTCTACAAAGACCGTGAGTAGCTCTTCAGCTCATCATCTAGTCCACCTCAGTGCTTGTCTTGAAAGCCAACTCATAAGCCTGAGCGCAATGCGCGTCAATCTCCGCACACAGATGCTAAGCAAACACTCCACCACAAGTTGGAAGTTGGTCGTGCACAAGCCCGCACAAATGCGCAGCAAACACTTCACCACGAGCTGGAAGTTGGTCGCGCAGGGATGAAGCGCAAGCTTCAAGAGGAGTTTGAGGGCGGTCGCGCACAGAACAAAGCACGCTTGGTAAAGCAGCTTGAATCATCACCAGCTGCACAGGCACTACAAAGCCCTCCAGTGCAAAGGGAAGCACAGAGGCGCATGGACCACAAGCTCATGGTGGGTCGTGCAACCATTCACCGCCTGAAAGTGGAGGCGCAACAAGGATTAAACGAAGAGTATCAGAGGCGTTTGCCTGAGGTTCAGCAGTCGCTTTCTCAGACTCTGGGAGACCTTGTCAGCAAATGCCAATCTGCGCAAACTGAGCTAGATGGCATCAGAAGCCAGATTCAGGATACAATGGTAGGGGCAAGTTGCGTGCGCGTGCCGTGACAAGGAACGTGGGGGACACCCGCCGAGGTCCACAAGCTGTTCCCTGGATGTGCTTGTCAAATCAGCTCTGCAAGCATTGACTTTGGCTTGCCCAGCAGGACCGCAATTGCTGCGCTAAGCCCATACACTGGTACAATTGGAGGCACTGCCAAGAACACCTTGATCAGTACTGATTGCATCTGCCAGGTGCATTGGGTCCATCAGGATGACTGACGCTGACAAGCTCTTGTCTATCCCACAGAGTCCCCAGTACCGCCTTGTCAACTACTGGTGCAATTGCAACCAATGCACCAAGCCTATTGCAAAGCCTCCCACTGAGGCTCCACCAACCAACACTACCATTTCCAATTCTGAGCACAAGCTCATCAATGCGTTCGTGAATTGCAACCACTTCTTCCGCACTTATAGCTACAATGGACTGATTGAGGACACACCTTGGGGCCCACTACAACGACTCCGCCAAGCTTGAGTGACGAATGGCTTGGACATTCTCGATGTCTTCCGGCTTCAGCAGGTGGCGAGCAGCGTTGATTTGCGCTTGTTCACGTCCCCAGGCAGCGACGCGATCTACAAGGAGCAAGTTTCTTCGACACGTTACTTGTCCAGACAGGTCTGAAGATCTTGCCGTGAGGTCCGCGCTCTCTTGCTCTCAGGTGAGGCCGGGTGTTGGGCGAGTTGTCTGCAATCTCTGCCATGGTCATGTTGGCAAGGCTGAACTTCTTGGGTGCGGAGTTGAGCGGGACAAGCCTATAGAAGTGGCCGTCGTCTCCGTTCAGATGCTACGCTGCTAAGGTAAGTTGAATCAGCCTGTCCTGTGTCAACACATGCTCATGGTCTGCCTTCATCCCAGCGGTCAGCATCTGCCTGTACTCATATCTATCATTGCACCTTGTACCATTGGTCAAGTGATTGTCAGCTTCTTTCATTTGTGATTGGCGCACTATGCATCCATCATCCAACAAGTCAGCATTGTCTCATGCAAACAACTCAGTTATACCATTGCACCAGGAGCATCATCACTCAGATGGCTTTTGGGCCCTTGGGCGCACTGCATGGCAGCCACCTTGAGAACCAAGCAGCAAGAGTCCACATCCTCCATACACTCCCCAAGCTGAGTGCAGCTCCCCTGCACACTGGCTACTGCTTCACCAACAGTGCCGGCCTTGTTGGTGATGTTGGTGGCAAGGATGTAGACCTCAGCAAAAGTGGCAAAAGCCAACATAGCGCTTGTGGAGCCCTTGCTGCTTCAGCTTGTTGACACGCTTGCAAAGTGCATCGTTCTCGCTGAACAATACATTGAGACAAGAGAAGACGGCGCCAATGGCTGCTGCATTCATAGCGCGTTGCTCCCAGTTGAGAGCAACACATGGCTGGAGACACTTTCCAGCCAGACCATTCCGAAGACAGGGACACGCTGCTGACAAAGTGATACAGCTCCAGAGGGAGTCAAGCGTGAGTTAGAGTCTTGAGTGCTTGCGATAATCTCAAGTCGCGAGTCACGAGTGCCATGCAGCAAGATGCATGCAGCACACACACACAGCACCACCGCAAATCCGCGGAGGAGGCACGAGCAGGCAGGCGGAGGACTTGCACGCGCGTCCGTGCGCTGCGAGTGGCTGCGCGGCTCCGACCAGGAATTGATCGATCGATTCAATTCTGATTGTGGATGTGCGACCTCGACCATCATCATCACCACAAACCCTCACTTTGACCGTGGACTCGTGACTCCTTAGTGACCAATCGAGAGCTGAGTCTAGCGCTTGATCCGGCTTTTGCTATCAGCAGAACGCGTGGCGCTCCAGACGCTCATCCTAGATAGGCCAGCTCACGGCTCAGCACACGGCGCCGTGGATCACCCCGCTACGCACCGCAGACTCTTCGGCTACGAGCTGCCACTTGTTGGCGAGGGCCGCTCCAAACATCGTCTCGCCTCGTCATCGCAAGCTCGAGATCGCAAAGTTGCAGCTGCACAAAGACCAGGCCTTTGTTGCCTTGGCCCGTACGACGCTACACACGGCAGTGGAGTGAGGCCACTCGGATCAGCTATTTTCGAAGCTGTAGTACGCCTTGGTGCCCCCCGCTAGGGGAACGATCAGGAGTCGCTTGAATTGAGCATCAAAAGGTTCAAGTCAAGATGGACGTGACTCGAGCCATTACTGGCTACCTCACGCGCCTGCTGACGAGCGTGGGCGGGATGAAGGTGTTGCTGCTGGACAAGAGCACCACGCCCATCGTCTCTCTCATTTCGACGCACTCTACTCTCCTCTCACACGAAGTCTATCTGACAGACAGATTGGAGAACAAGTCGAGGGATAGGATGAAACATTTGAGATGCATCGCTCTGATCCGACCAGACGAAGACACTGTGGCACAATTGATCCAGGAACTCAGAATGCCCAAGTATCAAAGCTACTTTTTGGCCTTTACCAGTCCGCTCAGCAAAAACGTGCTGCAGGCTTTGGCGGATGCTGACTCGTATCATGTGGTGCAGGAGGTGCAAGTGAGCAAAAAGTGTGCTGAGCGGTCGTGCCGCGTCGGCGTGCGGAAGCACGTGCGATCAGCTTGTTTGCTAATGCACGCACCGCACCCTACGCCTTCGACCGCCTCTCAGGAATTCTTTGCGGACTACCACGCCCTCACACCTTCGCTCTTCTCCCTCGGGCTCAGTTGCCCACCCTCGCGTCTCTTCCAAGCTGATTCCACCAGCTCTCTCAGCAAGTGGGACGCGCATGCCTTAGATCTGCACTGCAATGGGATCGTGGCGCTCCTTTTGAGCTTGAAGAAGAAACCGGTCATTAGGTACGAGAGGATGAGCGCGCTGGCCAAGACGCTTGGAGAGGAGCTTCACGTGAGTCCTAGCAGGAGGGGAATCAGCAGATGGGATGCTACTTCAAGCAAGAAGGCCATACGCGATTTGAGATGCGGGCAGGACCAAATGCCAAATGGAGGCAGTCGAACAAACGGCAGGGTGGAGTAGACAGATGGGCGAGGGGAAGGGGGTGGCTGCTACGCGTGCGGATGCAAACGGCAAGCGAGATTGATCCGACTTGTCGGCTTGGAGCTACGCTCTGAAGCGCTGTCATCGCACGGGAGCAGTGAATAGTATCGCTTTGATTTGGCTCACTCTTGCGCTTCTGTCCCCTTTACGTACAGTTCCAAATGAACACTGCCTTGCCCACGCTGTTCGAATTCAGACGAACAGAAAGCGCACCTTTGTTGCTCATCTTGGATCGCAGAAACGATCCAGTAACTCCGTTGTTGACGCAGTGGACTTATCAAGCCATGGTGCATGAGCTGCTGGGCATCACCAACGGCAGGGTGGACCTATCTGGAGGGAGCGCTGCAAACCCGGGCGCTGTCAAGGGTGCGAAGAGAGAAGAGAACCAGGTGAGCACATAAGCATCGTGCTCTACGCTCACACTGCGCCTGTGCCTTCTTCGGCTGATCTAAAGTCTCTCGTCGCACCGCAGGAGATTGTCCTCACACCATCCCAAGACACATTCTTCTCTTCCAACATGTACGACAATTTCGGCGATCTAGGCGCATCCATCAAAAAGTACGTCTTAGACTATCAATCCAAAACGCCGAACAGCTCCAAGATCGAGACGGTGTCGGACATGAAGAGGTTTGTGGAGGAGTACCCAGAGTTTAGAAAGCTGGGGGGCAACGTGTCCAAGCATGTCGCCCTGCTCGGAGAACTTTCTAAGAGGGTCGAAAAGGAGAATTTGCTGGAGGTCAGCGAGCTGGAACAGAGCTTGGCTAGTAATGAGAGCCACGCTGCAGATCTCAAGGTAGGTCGAGGGTCAATGCGCCCACAAGCAGTGTTTACCCTGCTTCTGCGAGCCAGACTCCTTATGACATGCTGATGATGCACTCAACGCTCCGACAACGTAGAACCTCAACACCCTCCTGGCTTCGCCTCAAGTGCACCCTAGCGCTAAATTGAGATTGGTAATCCTGTACGCGCTCAGATATCAGAGGTACGCGTCCAACAGGATCGATGAGATGGTTCGAATGTTGTTGAGCGCTGGCGTGGAGGAAAGCAAAGCTGCCGTGAGTTTTCAGAGTGACCAGAGTCCGACATCAGCGGCATGGGTCAATTAGCCTGGAGAAACAAAGCTGATTGCGATGTGCTCTCCTTCTGCCCGATTTGTTCTTGATTGGTACGAACGACTACCCGCGCGCTTGACGATGTAGCTTGTCTACGTGATGCTGAACATTGCAGGAGCAGAGCAAAGACAAGACGATCTCTTTTCCAACGAGAACTTTTTCTCAAGAGGCAAGAGCGCTCTGAAGGGATTAAAGGTGGGTGTGGCGATCGAAAGCGTTGCCACCCTTGGCCCACTTGGCATTCCTCTTGGAGTTTACGCTAATTGCGGGCTCTGCGATGATGGCAGGGAGTGGAAAACGTCTATACGAGACATTCGCCGCACCTTGCCGAGACGGTGGAGAACCTTGTCAGGGGCAGGTTGAGAGAACAGAGCTACCCGTACGTGGGCAATGCGCCTCCCATCGGTCAGCAGAGCATTAGGTGAGGAGTTTTGTGGTGTGGGAAAAGACTTTTTTTTTTTTGGTGCAAGACCGCTGAATCGATGAACATGCTCGTTTGTGATTGCAGACCACAAGAAGTCATCATCTTCATTGTGGGGGGAGCGACGTACGAGGGTGAGCTCGAGGATGCGACATGCTGGATGCTGCGCCTATTTGTTGGCTGAAGATACACACTTTTTTTTTTTTTTGTTTTTTTTTTTTGTTTTTTTGTTTTTTGTTTTTATTTTGCGTATTGAATTTCAGAGGCGCGAAGCATAGCTCTGCTCAACTCTCAAGGGACGAGCGGGCCGGGTCTAGGCACTCGCTTCCTCTTGGGCGGAACGACGGTGCACAACA